GAGCACCCACTATGGTTGCGTTAACTCGGTGATTTAGCGTTACCCTAACGCTAAAATACCAACATGTCCACTATGGACCTGTTTTAGACCTGCGGTCCGTACGGCTGCGTCAAGTCTTGCACTTCGTGTGCTCAGATTTACGCAAGCCTACGACTTGATTTATCGTAGGAACTAGGGAAAGCAGACGATAAATCATCCCATAGTGGATTTCACGCGGTTACCAACTTTGGTAAAACACGCATGATCAAACTTCGCGCTCAGGAACGCAAACTTTACGATAAAACACTCCCACCATAGTGGGTGCTCTAAGTGTTCATGAGTTATTCACACTGCAAATATAATGTGTTTCTCCAAAGTGAAAAATGATTGCACTTAATGCACAAAATGATTAATAATGCAGATTTAATGCAGAAAAATGCAGATTTAATGTAGATTTAATGCACTTTTAATCATTTTTTGAATTAAATGTAATCATTTTTCACCGCGGAGAAACACATTATATTTGCAGTGTCATCATTAACAAATACTTTACTGATTGAGTGTGACTTTTTCAGCTCAACATCGTCAACAAGAAGCTGCCTCGATCCGCTGCGTGGCGAGAGGACTTCAATCGACGCCGCACAGCTTTGAACAAGAAGCGGCAAGATGATGGACAACCAGCTCTCCTTGCCCTCTTAGCCGAGTATGGCATTAGATGGAACATCGATCTCGATTGATGGGAGCGTATGTATGCTGCACGTGATGTAAGTGTCATGTTTGCCTCGGGGGTATGTTGGACTTAAAACTGACCTTAACTTGTTTGTTTTATGATTTATCTTGAAGATCATCGATGAGATGATGAAAGAAGATCTCGCAAAGGTTCACGCGAAGAAACACCATCCTCGAAAGAATGCAGGCAAACGTGGCTACTTTCAAGAACTTGTCTTCTCAGTGGGCGATTGGGAAGCTCTCCAGGAAGTCATCCAGGAATTGATCGTGGGTCGTTTTCTATCTCACTTTGATGTAATTTGACTTTCATGCTGATAATCAAATACCAAACAGCCCTTGCGAGCCTTGTGTAAGAGAATGGAGGCTGATGCCCCTACTGGATCAATGGTACTATACAAGTATGCTGAGTTGATGAAATCACTTACCGAACGGCTTGATTCACTCGTGGACGACGACCCAATTTACCCGATGATCTATGAAATGTCTCGACGAACCACCATTTACATGGATGAGGCTTTGGCCTGTGACTCCCTAGTACTAGCAACAATCTTCCATCCCAGTTTTCGCCTTGGCTTCTTTTCTCTGACCTTTGGAAAAGACGATGTGATGACAACACACGCGGAGGATTTGCTTCGCTCACGATTCGAGCAGCGTCAGCAAGAGATCAACTCCAAAACTTCCATCAACGACAAAGTCACTGTAGTCTCCCCAAACTCAGTCAAACATAAGGTACCCAAGGTCTTCCAGCTCTACAAAAACGCCAACACTGCAAACGATCTAGGTGAATTGGATCGGTACATCCAAGGCTTAGACCCTGTGAGCTCTGATGATGTGGACAAGCTAATGGATCCAAGAATCACTCTTGATTGGTGGAGTGTATGTAATAATTCTATTCTCTCATGACTGTTCATAGCTGACCTCGTTTTGTTTGACTACCCACAGACTCATGAGGGCAAGTACCCTGTATTGGCATCGTTAGCTATGGATTATCTTAGCACAATTGCCACTTCCGCACCTGGAGAACGCCTCTTCACGCAGCTGGCCAGGTTTTTTCAGCCAACCGGGCCTCTATGCGACCCCGATCAATCAAAACAACGGTCGGTGCTCAAATGCTGTCTCGACAAGGTGTCCCTCTACCTTCTTCCTTCAGCAAGGTTCGAAAGGTTGTTGATTATGTCTCAAGAAAGCAAGGCAATAAGTGATCGACTTATTGCGATCGACTTCTTGCCTTTGATCTCAATATTTACTTCAAGTTCTAGTTGTTATTTCAGTCTTTACCCCTATGTATGCCCTTCTTTCTTTTTCACCTTATGCCATTTATGCCATATGCTTCTTCCCTTTTTGATCGATCTGATCACTGTGACAGCCAATGTTTGTATCTAAGATGTAGCGTCCCGTAATACAATTTTTTGCCTTCTCGCCGACCGTTTTTTTTCAGCTTTTCAAGCTTCAGAAACGTCGCTGACGCTTCGCTGACCGATTCCGTGGCCCTTTGTTAGCGGCCGCAGAAGTTTTCCACTTATGCTTGTACATGAGATCGCCGCGCAGCCGCAAAGCCTTGAAAAAGCTTTGCGAAGCGTAGCGAGCCACCTTTGCCTCAGGGGCGATGGAAATCAAATCTTGAATTGGAAGAGAACCACAAGAAGATCCGAGTTCAAAAGTGTAGTGGTTGTAAATCACCAAACCACCGAATCACCACCTGCCCTCAACGTCTGACCCAATCACAATCGAACAACTCTGTGATCCCATCTAGTAGCTCACGATCACGTACTGCAACATCAAAAATCCCTTCTAGAATGTCCAAACCCTTTGTGCAGGAGGAAGACTCAGAAACCGAATCGGAAACTGAATCAGAAATCAAGCTGGAACCTGATGATTCATCATCTGGTTCCGATACCGACAATCAATGCGAAGAAGACAATGAGTGTCCGTTTTGTGATGATCTGCTCCCTGGCAAACCCTCGCAAAAGCTACTTGACATGAAGCAGACTCTCTTGCAAATGCTAAACAAAAGTCGAGGACCCTTGCACGTAAGCGAATTGTTTTGTAAGCTACTCGAAAATAACAAACTAATAGATGTGAAGTTCTCCTCACTCCCCGCAGTTCTCGCAGACGGCTGAGTTCTGTCACTTGCATCAGGCCGAATGCGAGACTATTCCACTGGGTGTTGCCAAAGGTTGGCCAACCATCATTGATTTTGACACCTTAGAAAAGTTGGTAATCTCAATTTCAATATATAAATCGATAAATTACCATAAAAAATTGACTCACTCAACCTGTTGGTTCTACAGCCGGATTGAGCAAAATGCAGATGTTCTGCGCAACATAGTCAACCGAGTTGAATCATCTTCTTATCTAGAGGACGCAAAGAATAAGGTTAAGAGTGGTGGAAGTCGCAGCATGGGGAGTGATATGGCCAACTTTGAGGTTGAACAACCTGGATAGTGAGTGTCTCCTTACTCTTTGCTTCTCAGCATTATATCTGACTTTATCACTCTCAGAAATTCAAACAAATATATTGTATGTAGAAAATTCGATTTCTTATCAAAAAAAAAATGGAAACCTTCATGATTCAAAAACACAAAGAAGGTAAACTAGGTTTAAATTTCTTTGCTATTTAACCTATATTCCTAAAACCCAAACAAACAAACCAAACCATATTAAAAATCAAATGTGAAGAAATGTTTATCAACAAATAGTTTTTGTACCACAAAAAATATAAATCAAATTCAATGATTGTTTCTGGAAGGATAATAATCCATCAATCAAATGAAAGTTTTTCATGCAAACAATCATTTCATCAGAGGTTACCAACACACATTATAAAACCAAATCAAGCTACCCAAAAACAAGAGTGGTAAATGAAAGTGTGAATTAATGAAAAAGATTACTAATCCCACTTGATCAACTCAAATCCAATCCCACAACTAAACAAACTCTTCAGAAACACACAAAATTGTACTTTGGGATATTAGAACCTCTCAGCACTCCTATAGAATCTTTATCAAAACCACCCCATAGTGGTTAGAGAAACAAGATCAGTCTTACCAAAGTATTCAAATGATCAATTGTTGTCTAACTTTGGGATTTATAGTAGTGGAAGAGATTTTCAAGGGGAGGAAGACAGAGTGAGGTTGGGAGATCAAGCTTGAGGAGATTCAGAAGCAGAAGAGAGCAATAGATCTATAGAAATGTTTTTTTTTCTGTTTTCCAGGGATTGTATTGATGTTTTTGTGAAGTGTGTTGAGTGTGAGAAAAGTGTGCAAGGCAAACCCAGGGGTTTTCTTTGAAAAGTACTCCTTGGACTTGCCTCAAAAAATGATCATAGCTCCTTGTAGATATTTAGACCCAACTCATGAATCCAGTTTCCAAGCTTATGATGATCAATTGATGATAATTGGAAAAGTATGGTGAACAAACCAATATGAAAGCTCCCATATGTGCAAGAACCTTGATTGAATCACATACACTACCCAGAGATGATGCAGAAGACTCAGATCAAAATACCTTGCAAGTTTGTTTTGTATTGATAGCTGTAGTGTACTGATGGACTACTGGTTCCTTGCAAGAGACATTGTAATGGGACTGAAGTAGATAGCCCTTTCTTTATGATGATGTATTTGAGATACAGTTTCCTTTTGCTTTGTCATCATATTTGACCATAAAGGTTCAGAAATTTTGGAAGTGATCTCTATTCACTTGTCTCTCTGCTTGGTTGTACTTATTGAACCAGTTGTATCTTTCATGGACTCATTGATTAAAGGCTTGATGATCACTTTGAAGTGTTTCACCAAATCTATCCTTGCTTGTTAGGTTCTTTTGAAGATTGTAGATAGATTCCACCTATAATTTCTTAGTACTATCTCGAAGTATGTGGATAACAAGAATGTTTGGATAGGTTTTGTGAGTCTTGAAATTAAGAAAGGAGATTTGATTGTTCTTGATGAGTTGATTGGAATTGGTGTATGTAAAGTGAGTTGTAATGTGTTGATTTGGTTTTTACCTTTATCGGGTTTTCAAGAAAGGGTCTTTGTACGCATTTAGTGAGAGGTCTTTGTTCTGATTTCCAAATTCGAAACTTTCCAAATCGAAAAAGGTAAAAACTCAAAATCACTCACTCTCACACTTCACACTCACACTCTAAGCTATCATCATCATCATCAACAGTCTTATTTTACTTTTTAATGTTCACAAACGAGACACCGATTAAATCACGTCGTCAATCTTTCAAATCATTCACTCATCAACTCTTAATCAATCAACATTCAAAATCATCAAATCAAAACCATCCAATGTCAAATCCATCAAACTCTTCTGATCTGATACCTCCTCCAACTCCTTCATCTCCTCCTCAATTACCTCAATCAAAACAACAACAACAACAAACACTACCTTCAGCATCTCTCATTCTTCGTCAAACCAACAAACTAAACCCACGTTTACCTAGACCTTCAAATCTTGCTCATTCTACTATACCACATTCTTATGCTTATGGGGCAGCACCAACAGTTTCAGAACTATCAGATCAATCTTCAACTCATCATCGTCGTAACACCAATACTCAATCAAACCCAACAACCACAACCGATCAACCAACTGAAACTCGTACACCACAACCTATTCCAACTAATTCATCTAATACTACATCTGTCATGATTGCATCTGCATTCGAAAGAGCTCGTTGGGCAGCAAGAGCAAATGAAGCTTTATCAATCAATCAAACCCCATCACAATCGCTAAATCAACCAAGACCTCAAGATCCATCACCTCCACCTATCTCTCCTTCAAGTTTGAATCAACAAAATCAGATTAAGAAACGTAGAAAGAGTAGAAGATCATTGGATCCTAGTTACAAATATAAACCGGGTGATAGTGCTACAAGTGATAGTGAAGCAGGTGAAGGAATTGCAGATAAACGTGATAAACGGGAAAAGAAAGCTGCTGCTGCGGTGGCTAATCAAACTATTACTTCTAATTCGAAACAAACTAATAAAAAACGTAGAAGGACGACTACTCATCAACGAGATAGTGAAACTGATAGTGAAGAAGAAGGTGGAGAAGGAATCGCTTTAACTCGTGGACGTCGTTCGATTAAACCTCCAACCACATTTGATAGTAAGTTTCAAAGCGTTTAGTCTTTCTAAATCGCGTACTATTTTCTAATCAATTACTTTTCTCTTACTTTTTTTGATTTCTTTTTAGATTCGAATAGTAAACCAGCACGTAAAAGAAAAGCACCCAATCCAAAAACACCTAGAAATGGAACAAGTAATATAGGATCTGAAACCGAAAGTCATCAAAGTACATTAAATCAATCTACTAGAAGACGTACTGTTAGTAATAGAGGTACATCAGATGGTAATAGAACAGATGATCAAAGTTCAATTGTATCTAAACCACCGACTGCTACATTTTATCTCGAACATCCAGATAGTCCAGAAACGTCTAGAATCCCAAATGAAGAAGATCATACCATGGGTACTACTGATGATAGTCGATTCACCCTTGGAACTGGAGTTGAAAGTTATGAATATGAAGAAGAAGAACGGATTGTAAAAGCTTTAGAAGCAGAAGAACGAGCCAATCATCATCATCAACCAGCTCATGATGAAGCTTCTCAAGAGATGGAAAACTCGGTATCTTTAGAAGATTCTCAAAACCGTTCATCTGATCTAATGAGACGTAGTCAAAGTAATAGTCATCATTCGGATTCTTATCAACGTTCTGATTCGGGTTTAATCGAACTTGAACAAATCGTTGCAACTTCTAAACTTCAATCACAACCTCAACCTAAACTACGTAAATTACCTATCAACAAACCTTCGAATCATCTGAATCCAATCACACCTATTGAAGAATTAGATGAAACTAGACTTTCTTCTCCTCCTCCTTCTTCACCTATTAGAAAAAGTTCTAGACAGGCTGGATTTGGTACTTTGGTTGGGTCTAAAGTTTTACGTCAAGTTTCTAAACTTTCGAAATACTCTGGTTCTTTTTATTTGAAATCGGCTTTATTGATTTTCCTTTTAGCTTTAATGATCAGTTAAGTTTATACTCTTTTCTAAGCTTTTTCTTTTGCTATGTTTCTGTTTTGAATAAAGATGCTAATGGATGAATGATGAATTTGGTTCAATTAATAGATTCGATTCGAGTAGGAGATTTACCAATGTCATTCTTTTCTCGAAAACGATCATCACCCAATGTATTTATAAAACCCGAAAAACCGATTGAAAATATAGAAGAATTAGTGTCTAGATTAACGAATTTAGAAAGCACTTTATCTAAAATCTCAATGGGAACTGAATCGATTACTAATTCATTAAGTACATCGATTTCAGAAACAAGAATTGAAATGTTTCAAAGGATCGGATCGATTGAATTATCAATCGAAGATCAAATCCGAATGATTGAAGCTGTAAGAGAAAGTCATGAAGGCAAATTGATTAAAATTGATACCAGTTTTTCAGAAGTACGTAAACAAGTCAGTTTAGGAGCCGTTTCGATTGGTCGATTAGAGAAATCTTTGGCTGGTTTGAATAAAGAGATTATTGGAATTGAAGATCGAATCCAACAAGCTTTGAATGATCAATCTAATTCAGTCAATCAGGAAGGTTTGAATGGCATTCTCATGGATCCTGTCACTGGTGAATGGAAATTAGATTCTAGATTGATGAATTATTTAGAAAGTCTTTATGTGAGTCGAGAAAAAGTGGAAAAGAGTTTGATGGAAAGAGATGAGAAATTAAGAAATTGGATATCTAAAGAGATTGGAAACCAACCAAGCGGAACCGGAAGAGTAGGAGATGGAAAGAACTTTTTGAATTCGATGGAAGAGACTGATGAATTAAATCAAATCATTTCACAATCTATCTTAAGATTTTCATTAACCGATGGAGGGATCAATCAACCTGATTATGCACTTTTTTCTGGAGGTGCTAGGATCATACCTGATTTAACTTCTGCTACATTTGATATCAAACCTAAAGGATTCATTAAATCTACTTTATCTTCTTTAATAGGAAGAGGAAACTTAGTGATCGCAAGAGGTCCATCCACTGTACTTGAACCTGATCGATCGATCGGAAAGTGTTGGCCGATGAATGGGAATCTAGGACAGATTGGAATCGCTTTGGCACGAAAGATTGTGGTTAAAGAAATCGTCATTGAACATGTTCAGTTTAGTTTGGCTTATGAGTTGGATTCTGCTTTAAGAGAATTTGAGGTTTTGGGCTATGATGAGGTGAGAAAGGTTTGGAGAACGTTGGGGAATGGAACGTTTGATATCTTTGATTCAAAGGTTAATTCTATTCAAAGGTTTCAAATGAATTATCCATCAGAGGAAGAAGATGATCAATTTGAAACTGGTTTAGTGGTCTTGAAGGTTTTGTCGAATCATGGAAATTCGGAGTTTACTTGTTTGTATCGGATTAGAGTTTTGGGTGAAAGAAGGAACCTTGGAAATGGATTGGTTGATCATCAGTCTTCATCACAAGAACAAGAACAAGAACGGATTGAAATGGTTTGAGGGTTTGGAATTTGGAATTTGGAATTGTTGGATTGGAAACGAAATGGGTTGGGAAAAGCTTGAAAAGTTGGATTGGGTTTTGGTTTTCTTTTGTTTTGGTTTTTGGTGTAGTAGGAATAGTAGGAATAGTAGGAATGGTATATATCTTGTTCATCTTTTTTTTTGGTTTATATATATCTTACTGTTCATTTTGAAATTATGGTTTATAAATCAATCAACATATATATAGATAGATAGATAGATAGGATAGAATACCTTGTGTTTTTCATTTTTTTTTTGGTTGTTTGGTTCTTTGATATAAAAATATACACTTGTTTCCTTTTTTTTTATTTTGATGTGTTGATTGATGGATTGGGTTTTTTTTTGAATTTCTTTTGCTCAATTACCATATGATCATTTAGATTATTTTTTTATTTTTTTCTTTTGGTACGGTTCGGGGTTTGGTTTTCTTTTTGGTCCGATGATTTATTCACTCTTTTTTGGTTTGGAAAAAAATGGTGATGGAAAAACACACACACATACATCAAGGGTTTTGTTTTCTTTTATACTTTATTTAACACTTTTTATACTGAGTACATTCTTTTCTTTTGTTTACTTTTTCGTCGGTTTGTATATTTACAAAAAAAGGAAATCACAAAGGGTGAAGATCTACTTTACAGTCATAGATGGATGTCAAAGCTTTCAAATGTATTTTTAAGATCCCCAGTTGAGTTTGGATTTGCAGCCCATCTGATTGGCAACAATCAGCAATAGATATCTTGCCAAAGGTTCCAATTGGTGTCCAATCACAATTCACAACCTCCTGAGGCTGTAGCCAAGAACACCACCTCAGCCTACTTCATCTGACCAACTCCACCACCAATGATTTCCCCTTGCAATGTCTCAAAGGAGCTTATCTCCAACCCTCTTTCCCATGTCATTGCTGGTCTCTGTCCTCATCATGACCAACAATGAAAGACTCAAAACACTTGTCCTTATCTTGTTTGGCACTTATTTGATACACTTTGAAGTATCTTGACTCTTCTCATTGTTCTCAGACAACCTATTCAAAGTGAAACCTCTCTGACTAAGCAGGGGAACAGAGGTCATCCTGCTTGTGCCCTCAATGAAACCCCCCAACCAGCTTGTCGTATTGCATTTGCAAGATCTGTTATCACTTCCTCAGCAGGTCAATCTTAACTGTACATTCAGGATTTTCTTGTTGTTAGCTTGGTCTATTGAATAGATTGAATATATCAACTTTTATGTGATTTCTCACAATTACATATCAAACCTATCAATTTCTTGAATTCTTCAATTCTACTCCTTCCATCAAATCTCTTCTTTCAATCATTCCTATACATATACTTTCCATCAAACAAATCAAATCCACTCTACTCTACCAATACTCCTTCATGTCCTTCTTCTATCATGTCTAAAGATGAAGCTGCCAGCTCTTTAGAATTTATTGATAGTCCCCTTAATTGTTGTTACCTTCTGATCCTTGTCCACTCCACTCATCTCCATTGCTAGATCAAAAAAACCAAAACATAAGAGACCCAAGCAGAACGTGAAGAGGTTCAAGACCTTGGTCCTGACTAGTGGCAATAATCCTCACACCCAGAAGTCCTGTGGTGCAAAGGATGAATCAGTCTCAAGAAAGATTACCTGGTATTCATGTCTAGTAGTAGGGGTTCCTGAGTGTGACAATAAAAGTTGAGATTATGTTGCACCAACACTCACGTCTGATGCTGAAGGAAAACCAGCTGGATTGATATTTGAGTAAGTGATTTTGATTCTTGCTTCATATACATGTACTGTGCATCTTTTACTTGTATGTTGAACAATGACTGATTTTTGAGGTTGATACTTTTAGACATCTTGCCCTGTTGAAAAGTGTGGTGGAAACCACTTTTAGAGCCAATGTACATGATCTAATTTCTAAGTGGATATAAAGAATATATTTTGATCTGATGGGATTTCTTCTGCCACTCAGGTATCCACAACCATGTCTGGCCAGTTGCCAAGAAGGCTGATGTGTTGGCAATGCAGGAGCTTGTGGAAGAGGTGCCAAAGAACCCACAGGTAGGTAGCTATGTTGGTTTTGAAAGTAATTCCAAATTTTATCTTTGGAAATAGGTTTCTTAGTTGTATTCTGATATCTGACAATACTGATGTCTTTGCTCTTTGAAGGTTGGCCAGGTTGGGGCTGGGCAGACCATCACCCCCACCATTTATTGTTATCTACCTGGTGTTTACAAATTTGTCATTGATCCATTTACTTACTAACTTCTCCACTTTAGCAATGGACTTTGATTAATATCAGTGTCTCTCTCACATACAAATGTCCACAATATGTTCCAGTCCAAATGGATGGCCAAGCAGCTGGTATGTGGTGACCAAAACAGCTGGGTCTACTCTGGTGATCTCCTATCAGACATCATACACCAATTCTTCTGCAACATCAATTTACTCACCACATGTGAATAAATTGCTGGATCCCATTTTAACTTACCTGGATGTTGGGACTTGATGTCTACTGCTATCAGGCTCATTTCAACATGATCCTTCAACAAATCAATTTGGATGATCTGATGTGTCACAAATGGGACTTGTTGGTATAACAAGTGGTTGAATTTTTAGTTTCACAGAAAAAAGGGTTTATTGCTGCTTACATGGAAGTTTTCAACAAAGTCAACCCATCCCAAGCTTTAGATAACTCGAAGGAGTCTCATGAAGACTTCTGTCAGTCAGTTACTTGGGTCAAATAGAAGCAGAACATAATTAATGCAAGTCATGTGGTGAGCTTAACATTTCTTATTTTCCAGTCATTTCTCTTCACATCCAAGTTGAAAGCTTACCCATGCATGGAACTGACTTCTTTTCATGCTGTTCATACTTTTCTTAGGGTGACTTCAAAGTTCAAATGGATGGCTCTCAAATTGCTTGAACCAATCAACCAGATGGCCTGACATTGAGCCAACAATGCAATCAGCTGGATATTCCCCAAAGCCAAAGCCAGGCTTGGGCCTTTGCTGACGGAATACTTCTGGCATCCATGCCATGCTCTTTTCTCCTACACTGCTGCTACGGGTTATGTACATATGAGAAGTGAATTGAAATTTAGAGAAATTTGATTGGGGTACCTACATTACGTAATCATACATGAACATACAGTTACCCCACACCTCTCCACATCTCACTAGACTCGAGCAGTTGACCTTAAAACGTCATCAGACCGATCACATTTTACCAAAATAAAACAAAACTCAACAAAATACATACATAGATAGCATGTCAACTCAAGTAGAAGAATATTATATTGGAGTAGACGTAGGAACAGGTTCAGCAAGAGCTGCATTGGTTTCATCTTCAGGTGAAATCTTGGCTGAATCAAGTTATCCTACTACTACTTATAGAGATGAAACAAATCATGATATCTTTGAACAATCAACTGATGAAAGTAAGTCGTATGATTTCAATCAAAATTCAATCATTCAATTTGATCAAAGGGTGATGCTGATTCCTTTTGGATTGTGTTTTAGTTTGGAATTCGATTTCAAAAGCATGTAAAGATTGTTTAAGAGAATCAGGTATAGATAAATCAAAAGTAAAAGGAATCGGATTTGATGCAACTTGTTCATTAGCAGTATCAGATAAATCAGGAAATCCAATTTCAATTCATTCAAATCCATCTACTCATCCAAGAAATATCATTTTATGGGCAGATCATAGAGCTAAGAAAGAAACCGACTTGATCAATTCAACTGGTATGAATTTATTGAAATATGTGGGTGGTACGATGAGTTTAGAAATGGAAATTCCTAAAATCCTTTGGTTAAAGAATCATTTGAAATCTGAAACTTTTAAAAGTTTGATGTTTTTTGATTTACCTGATTTTTTAACTTTTAAAGCTACTGGTTCTTTGGCTCGTAGTAATTGTTCTTTAGCTTGTAAGTCTTTCTACTTCTTCTTTTCTTTGGTAACTCGTTTTTTTTTGATCGGTCCGTCTTTTTTACGGTTTTCTATTTTCTTTTGTAAAGGTAAATGTTCTTATGTTCCTCCAGGGGTTGAAGGAAGTGAAGGGTGGAGTTCAGAATTTTTCAAAAAAATCGGTTTATCCGAAATTGTAAGTCTTTGGAGGAAAAAAACTAAAAATCTGATCGAAAAATCAACAACTCAATAATTTTTATATCTTTTTTGTTAATAAATAGGCAGAAAATGATTTTGAACAAGTAGGAGGTATACCAGGAAAAAACGGATTGATCTTAACAGCAGGTCAACCAATCGGACAAGGTTTAAGTCAAAAAGCAGCTGAAGAATTAGGTTTATTACCAAATACACCAGTTGGATCAGGTGTGATTGATGCTTATGCAGGTTGGATTGGTACTGTTGCGGCTAAGATGGAAGGAGAAAAAGAGTCAAGTTTGAAAGACTCGGAATCTAGACTTTGTGCTATTGCTGGTACTTCTACTTGTCATATCGTTCAATCTCATTTACCGGTTTTCGTTCCTGGTGTTTGGGGTCCTTATTTACATGCTATCTTTCCTGGTTGTGAGTTTTTTTTCTGTCTTTTTTGTATGAACGTCTGTATTTTGAAAGCATGTTCAATGATTGATTCTTTTGGGTTGGGGTTTTTTAAAGATTGGATGAATGAAGGTGGTCAATCATCTACAGGTCAATTACTCGACTTTATCATAGACGTCAGTAATTATTCTACATTTCGTTTCATTTCTTTCATCATTCACTTTCTTATTTTTGTTGATGAACAAACTATGTAATTTCATTTTTCTAGACTCATCCAGCAGTAGAAAAATTAAAATCATTGGCAAAAGAACAAGGTTTAAATCATTTTGTGGTTTTAAATAATTTACTCAAAAGTTTATGTGAAGAGAAAAAAGCTCCATTTTTGACTTATCTTACAAAAGATTATTATTTGTGAGTTTATTGATTTAAATTGATTTAAATTTGATCGAAATCTTACAAAAAATGGTTCATTGATTTTTATAGGTACCCTGATTTACATGGAAATCGATCACCATTAGCAGATCCTTCAATGAAAGGAATGTTAATTGGATTAACCTTGGATAAATCTTTAAATGATTTAGCTTTAAGATATTTAATTACTTGTGAAGCTATTGCATTACAAACCAAACAGATTATGGTTGAAATGAATCAAAAAGGTCATCAAATTCGTTCGATCTTTATGTCTGGTGGATTAGTTAAGAATCCCATCTTGATGGAACTTTTGGGTTAGATATCGAATCCTTTCTTATTATCATTTTTGTAAAGATCTTAAAGAACTGATGGTTTTGGTTTTTGATTTGACTTTTAGCTAATGTTTGTGATGTACCAATCCAATTACCTGCATCACATTCTGCTTCAGTCGTACTAGGATCAGCTATGTTAGGCAAAGCAGCTTATGTAACAACCCAAGATGAACGATATAAATCAAATCAAATCATTGATAATCAAGTTAAAGCTGAAAAAATGAGCCATGAAATGAAAGATAAACTTTGGGAAATCATGGTACGTTTCAGAAGGAAACTACTCACAAAAAGAAAATCTGGTCTCGTTTCTGATATAGTAATGACTTTTTCCCCTTGGTGAACAGGTTGAGATGTCTAGACCTGGTTCAACTGTTAAACCTAATCTTGAGGTAAACTCTAAAGAGAAAAAATTATTAGATGTGAAATTTAAAGTGTTTTTAGAATGTATCGAATTACAAAGAAAATGGAGAAAGATGGTAAATGAAGCTTTAGCTTAAAATCAATCAATCAAGCAAAAAAATCGGTCTTTACTCTTCTAAAGAAGGCTATTTAGATTTTTTCGATCATTTTTTTTTCCTTTTTTGCTGATTTCAACATCATTCTATGGTAACTTGAAAATAGAGGCTCTTCTCATACATCCAAACATCACCATATCTCTTCTTGATTCTTTTCTCGTTCTCTCTCTCTCATTAAATTTTTTTCTTCTTTCTTTTTCTATTTAAAATGAAGCAAATGAAGAAAAAAAAACAGATGACTAGAATTTTTTGTTTTGATTTTTTGAATGAACAATGATCTTTTTATTGAAATGTAAAATAGTTTGTTTTTTTTGCATCAAGTTTTTTGAAGTTGTAAATTGCATTTTAAATTTTGAAGTTTTTGACTTTTCTGAAAAATCAAAAATTGATTGAAAGATTAAACCCCTAACCAAAAACTCACAACAGCTCTTAATATCACGAAGAACTTTCAATGAAGTATTGCAATCCACATTTTGTTGATGATTTTTCCAGGGGCTGAGCTGCATGTCACTCAAGCACTCACGGAAAAAAAGCTACGCCAGTTTATTCCACTGGCCCCAAGCACAATTCGAAAGGTTGGTATAATGTAGGTAGAATGGGTTTAAACGCTCTCAGACGGCCTCAGAGTAACAACAAAGCTACCTAAACTTCAAAAGTGTTGCAACAAGCTACTGGTACTACAATGACACAATGTCTGACAAGCACAATAAGAAAAAGGGAAAAAATCATGATCAAATCACCATGTAGCTCAGCAAGCTGCATGCTAACTTAGTTTGGTGGTTTGGGTACAACACAGTTGTAACAAGCTAGAGAAAAATCATGTTAATGTCAACATTGACAAAATCTTGAGCATTTGAAGCTACTTGTATTCCTATCACAAATAATGGAATCTTACTGTGGTGAGTTTCTGCTACCAGAGCCCCGCCGCAACTAACTGTGACTGCCATTTGTGGTAACACAGGCTTTGAAACCAGATCAAGAAAAATCAAGTAAGCCTCATTATGATCAGGTAGTATCTTTGGTGGGAATTATTTGAAAAGTGAACTTACTAGTAGCTGTGGTGGTGTGGCATCTATAGCCAATGTTGCAGATCACTTTAGGCACTATTGGGTTGGCTGAAGCACCCACCTTGAGCTTTCCCAAGAAGTGGGTATCATGGCTAACCAAATAACAGTGTTTTGTGGCTGATTCCAAGACTGATGTGAACCTGTCTTGCTCTCATGTGAAGAGTTTTGAGTATTAAGTTTCTTTGACCAGTGCATTGAGCAGTGTAGGTATAAAGCTTGTTACAACCTAAATTGTATGGGATGTGATTAGTGAACAGTCTTGAAATCATAACACCAATCACTGATCATATCACTGAAACAAGACTTACCAGGTTTTCTAGTGTTAACCCGGGCATAAATGGTGCACTGGAATACTTGACCATTGGTAGTAGCTTTGACCAAATTTGATGATGATACCCGCAGGGCAAAGACAACAACTGGGAAGACTTGTGCCAACATGATGCAAGAGTTTGGAAACATATAAAGGGAGGGTGTTTGAAGATAATATGTCATGGGGTAAAGCTAGATTTACTGCTGCTGAAAGCGCTGACCTTTATAGGGTTTCTGGAGGCAGTTCACTTCACCACATTTTCAATTTGGGGTGCACATCATGATCCATCATTTGAATTCTCCAAGGTTCTCTGCTGATGTGCTGACTGATGTAAGAGCTGGATGAACCTAGATGAGCTCCTTGCACCCAAAACCCACTGACAGGCTGCAGATGTTCACAAAGCTTGGACAATTTTGTCAGCAAACCTCAAGCAAATGGGAATTGAAGATGGGAATTTGGTGAGGAATTTCTGACCAGAAATCACATTCTGTAAATTTTTTAATGCAAAAATGAAACATGCACCACCAAATAGACACTTTAAATTTTGCCAAATGTGATTTATCAACAGAAATTGCTTAAGTGAACACACCCTCAGCTCTATGGCGCTATCAAGATGTATGCAGTGATTCCCCCAACACTTATCATGGAAATTCAGAGAGTGCTATGTTGTGGCATTGTTGAATCCAGTGTGTGTGCTATCACATACTCACAATGCTTATCCCCATGGGAATAAGAAGAGCATTGGAAGGTGAAAGTAGGCCTACACAAGAATCCCTCCTCCCATCAGATAGTTTTCTAGATGAACAATCTAGGATTAAAAGAGAAGATCTGATGGTTGAAGTAAGTCCTTTCCCTAAGTCTCATCTTCATCAAAAGATTATTACATCAAGAACCTCTACTTCATCTTATTCATCATCAAATCATGATTCAATGTGTTTCTCTTATGAATGAATGTATTATTAGTCTTTCTGTTATGTGACTTTTCCCTCTTATTTTCATTTTTCATTTTTTATTTTTATTTTTATGTGATTGTCTAATTAGTGAAAACTATGTATGTTATATGTTATTGAATACCTTCATTTTTCATTTTTTATTAGTTGATAATTCTTCTATGTTGTCACATGCTCCAGGCATTATTAGTAAATTGTGATATCAGGCATTGTCATTATGTTCTATTTCAGTTGTTATTTATTTGCTTAACATCTTTAAGCAGTTGTAGTCTTCCCTATTTTGTAGGCTTATGGTTCATCAATCTCAGTAATTGATATCTGGTTTCCTTTGAAAATACAATATGTGCCAAAGACTTGCTGGCCTTATTCCAACTAATGTCAACAACCAACTCATCAGAGCATCAAAACCAACAAGATCAACAAGATCAACAAGATCACAGCTTTGGACCACATCAAATTAATTCATCAATCAAATTTGTCTCAACCATCAAGGGTGATTTTCTTAATATAGATGACAGAAGGACTGTGATAGAAATTTATATCAGGAATGCTATCATTTCAAGTTTCAAACATTGTCCATCAGATTAACCATGATTTGATAACAATTGTGGTTGATATTAGCTGATGCTTGTAAGGGTTGATTGAAGTTCAAGGCTTAAAACAACATTGGTGCTGCAAAAAATGTCCTCTTATGTGATTCCTTTCTATCAGTATTCTCACAAGTTTTGTACAATTTTGGTCTAGGTGATTGTCTTTTGAATCTAAAGGATATCAAAAAACCAACTCAATGAAATACCTGAGAAGGGTTGGAATAGATTTTCTCTTGCCAATTTCATAAAACAATCAAATCAAATTCCATGTTTGACATCTCAGTTTTTTTTGAATTGAAAGCATTCAATGTTTGTTTGTTTTTCTTACAGGTATCTATAAAGTTTTGAATCTATGGTTTTTTCATCATTTTAAGCTTCTGAGCTTAGAAGCAAGGAATGACAGAATTCAATAATTCTTACAAACAAAGAATATGAAACCGGTTTTGATGCTTACTCACATAGGATAATCTTCAGACACACCAATCTTTTTTGAATTCTATATGGTTGAATATGTCAAAATTACATTTTAATTTAGACAATTTTTTCATGATTTACGTTGTAAAATGATAAACGTTGTTTGGTTATCTACATACATTTGTCATATAATCATCAATTCCCGAAGACCAAAAACAGATAATGAGATTTCAGATTATTCACCTGCACTAGCATCTTGTATCTTTGTATCCAAGATTTCTAGTGAATCAAAAATTGATGCACAGACAGGTGAACAAATGGCTAAAGTTCTGCCTGTTGGATCGTCGGTCACCAGACGGGCAGCTTGTGCTGTTGATGAAGTTTCCTGTCTTCGGATGTTAGGGTAATGTTTGCGGAGATATTGGTCACATTGCTGAAGAGCCTGAATGTAAGCGTCCAAGAAGGTTAGTAAGATTGGTTTATTTTCGAAAATCGGATGGTAAACTTTGAATCGGATCAGCATCGCAGCCACTGAAAGAACGGTAAACTTACTTGTGTATGACTGGCAACAAGCTGATAGTTTCTCCCAAGAGATAATTGCTCATCCTCTTCTTGCTTTCGTCGGACCAGACAATGTTCGATCTTGAGGACGATTTGATCATCTAAACGATGGATTTGACGAGCTACCTCAGCCTCTGCAAGCACTTCCTCCGTCTCAATCACCGGTCCCGCAGTAGAGTTTCGGATAGGAACTACGGAAGCCCAGGTTTGATGGGCAGATGAGGTTTGATCCTGATCCTGATCCTTTGCCAAAAGTGAATAAATGGCTGTCCTGATATCGGGGTATGGCTTTAGAATGAATTTCGGCCCACCAAATCTCTGTAAGGAAGCCTAAAGATGATTTTGCGGAGCCGTGACAGTGATCTTAATTATCTGAAATTGCTTCAAGCTGAGAGTCACAGAGGACATAGCTTGCTACCTCATGTGTAAAGGTGCCTACAGGGCCTAGGAAAGCTACTTCGTGACAAGGCTCTGGAGGACCGCCATTCTGATTCTGAGAGTTTGAAGTCTGATGATGATTTAGAGTTGGGCTAGGCATTGAGGGTCGTTCTCGTACTCGATCGAAGTTCGCTAAAGTCAAGTTAAAGCAGATCAGAGCTGATTGCAACATCAGCCGAAGGGCGCTTTCAAGTTTTTCACTCAGTCAAAAATAATCGCAAGTTTTAGCCCAACTTAAGGCCTTTAACCTAACATGTACGGTTAACCCTATCTGATATCAAGGTTCAATTCCACAACCAGTCTAAATATACCTTCGATACGATATCAACTCGCATTTGTTCGATCATTTTGCCAGTGCTGCATGGCATCAATTTGCGTCTTTCGTCATGGGGAATGTCAATGCAATCTAGGTAGAATAGAATCAAACGCTCGCATCCAGCCTCAGAGTGACGAGAAAGCTACATAAATTTCTTCGAACATCTTCGACAAGAGTGAAGTCTATGTGGACAAGAGATCTTTGGAAACAAGGTACTGGGGCTACAATGAGATGATGTCTTCAAAGTACAATAAAGATGAGTACAAAATGACAATCATTGCTTAAATCAGCGTAGAGGTCAGCGCGCCATGTCATCTCCATTCGTGCCTTAGGGTACAACACATTTGTAACAAGCTGTAGAAGGTAGTCAGATTGATGCCAACGTTAGTAACATCTTCTTGTTTCTCGTACAAATTTAAACTTACTGGCGTAGGTTTCTGCCACCGGACCTCCGTTGCAACTATAAGTGCCAGTTTTAGTGAGGCATGCTTCGAAATCAAAGAAATCCAAAAACAATAAGTCGCCCTCTTTATGATCATGTGATCTGTTCTTAGTGATGATGATTTGGTAATTGAGCTTACCACTGGCTGCGGCAGTATTACGACCATAGCCAACGTCGCAGATCACTTTAGGTACTGCAGGATTGGCTGGTGTATTCGGTTTAGGGTTTCCCAGAAAATCGGTATTATTGCTGAGCAAAAAACAGTTTTGTGCGGCTGTTTTGAAGGATGATGTCAAGCTGTCTTGTTCGCAAATGGAAATTCTCGAGGGTTGCACTTTACGTACCAATGAAAGGACCAGTACATTGACCGGCGCAAGTATAACGCTCATTACAACCTGGATTGCACGAGATATGGTCAGTGTCAAATTTCCAAGCCATGCTAGCTATACTGATTAATGATCATGATATAGACACAACTTACTAGGTCGGGTAGTGTTGGCTAAGGCGTACCTGGTGCATTTGAATACTTCACCTCCGGTGGGAGTTTGGGCCCAAGTTGACGAGAAAACACTAAGGGCAAAGACAACAAGAGGGGAGAGAAGTGCCAACATTGTGTGAGAGTTTGGGGAAATAGGAATTGATGGAGGCTGCTCGAAAGGTCTTGATGTTCGAAAAGGACAATATTCGTTATGGTAGAGGTGGGTTCGCCACCGCTGAATCTCTTAGCTTTATAGGGTTGATGCATTCATTTCACCGCGTCTGATGTGCACTGCACATCACATACACTTTAGTTACATAGTCTGAGGTTCTCTGCGGATCTGTGGACTGCTTGGAGAGATAAGCTCCTTGATCACAGCGTCACTGCCGCGTAACAGGCGCGACGAGAACTGATTACCTGCCAGGATCCCGGGGTTTAGCTGATGAGTCTTTCTGCTTTGATGAGCCGGTGGATCCGTAATGAAAGACAGTTGGCTGCGGTGGTAATTGCCGACCGCTCGCTCGCAGGCAATTAAGGATAGGAAAAGTCTCCCAATACTCATTTTTTTGCCACTGCGCGCTTCTTTCAATAAGGCACACCTTGTGCCCTCACCAAAGCTGAACTAAGCCCTCAACCCATCGCGTCATCGCTTAATTTTGTGTTGCCTGCATTGGAGAACCTATGATCCCTATTAGTGGAAAATTAAATTTATATGAAGCCAATGTTGACAGTTTTTTGACCCAATCACTAGCTTGAAAATACAATCTGATCACTTTTGATTGTATCTGCAAACTACCCCCACAAGATGTAAATGGGAAGAAGAGAGTCCCTGTCACCACCTGCTGATGTTGTGAGTCAGAAACATGATGTCATCAGCTGGATACGCAGCCGTGACAGGGGCTTATGTACTCAATTGTTTTCAACAAAACCTTTTTCTCCCCTCCTCATGGCATGTTCGTGAATCTGGCATGTTCGTTGTTCACGAACATGCCATGAGGATGGGGAAAGTCAGCTATACAGCTATGTGCGGAGAAGTCTTGACACTCAAGGGCGGCCGCGACTGCGCATCAAACTCTTGGAACTTGGCACTTGAAGGCATTTAATTTGAAGGCATTTAATCCACGTAGCAAGGTGCCAAAGTCTATAAAAGTTTTGGGGTGTACAACCTGATACAACTCTTCGTCTTGTTTCTCCTCGCGGTCGGAGTCATACCACCAAGCCTGCGCTCATGCTATGTGTTGGGCGATGTGGTGTCCCTGTGCGCTTGAATTCATCAAAGAAACTTGTCACATTCCTCTGTATAGGTGTGCCGCACCCGATCATATCTCAAAGCCAAATGTAATTTGATCTCTTCGCAGTGCGTGTATATTGAGGGTCTTGATCAGTTTATGTGGTAAAACCAACATCAAAATATGTGATCGTGGACCCAGTCTCACTCACACATGTTGCGAAATGAATCAATGGTATTCACAAAAATCTTTACCTTGAAAGACTTCTTTCACCTAATCCATGCTACAGGACCACGTACCCAGGTCCCAAAGGCACGACGACACTTGTAACCCGGGGATGAACAGGTACCGATGTGCTAGGATCCCGGTACATACCTAAAAGATCGGGTACCGGGATTGTGGTAAGCCAAAAATGTTCGCCGAGGGAAGATGAGTAAAGGAAGACTTCATCAGATTGATGCTGATTGATGTATTCATCATTCAAATTCTTCCCCTAGCAGATAGCACACATTTTGTCTCAATTTTGCTTAAATAAAACCTTTTTTGTCTTCCTCCCACCTACTCCTGCACCCTACCGACGCAGAGAGCCGACCTTGGCCAGTACTAGAACAGCGGCGTCCGGCTCCTCCTCCCCAAACAGGTGATGTGACTTAACAGCAATTAAGGGACATGCCATACGGTCAGATGTCTGAGGTGGCTGTAGCTTATGATACATATATATGAAATGGAATGATATACCTAATATAAATAGAAAACCCGCCTTAAGCAGAAATGCAAGCGAGATGTTAATGGAACTTTAAGTGTTGATTTTTTTCAAATCAAAACAGGTTTCTATGTTACAAAAAGTCTTCGTAAACAAGGTGTTACTTCTACAAAAACAAGCGTGAGAGTTAAATGAAACTAATATACGGTTTGACAAGTTTTCTTGATACGAATTCAGCAACGACTTGGGTCAGTATACTTGAGCAGCTTTCACATTTTGCTTTCTGTTTTACAACAAATTCTGAAAAGAAAATGCCACAATCTTCTACAACAAGAATCATACGAGTTGACTAACTAGGACCTATGTGCAATAAACAGCCGCCATCATTATTGCCTCAAAGGGGGTTTTTGGGAGTATATAACAATCGGATTCCAACACCCAATGTGGATATAATCATTATTGTCCCGCTGTATTGAACCAACATCCGATAACCTTGAACTTCAGATGTGCTTTTATCCAATAGGGCGCCAGCAATTGGTCCCGTGAAGATATTTGCAATCCCACGAGAAGTGGTGAAAAATGCAATAAGGTTACCAGACTTTGGCTCAGACGGTGCTACAAGCATTGCGAAACGCTGCCAAAGGCACGAGAATCCACCTGCGCTCAAACCGTCTATGTTGTCACACGAAGAAGTGAAAGGTAGAATTAACATCGAGTAAAACTGATTAGGGAAGATAGATTGTTGAAAGAGGGAACGTACAGATAATAGCAAAACTGGCAAGCATCGCGAATCCGTTGCAATGACCCCACAAGGTAAAGATACTTATGCCACTGCATAATGAGGTAGTCCCGATCAACCAACTACTATCGACGTGATCACTAGCTGTACCGACTAGTAGCTGTCCGAAAATGCTTGCACCCGAGTAGAAAGCGAGAATGAGTCCACCAGGAAGTCCGATTGACATAGCGTATGAAGGCATATACAATGATGGTACAAAATAGGCACTGTCAATGGAGTAAATAAGATCGAAACACTCAGTGACTTCACTCCAGGTATTTATTGAAAGAAGTTAAACGACACCCACAGGCTTTGGACGAGGGTCACAGCGACAAAGGCCCAAAAGATCGGTTTCCGAAGATAGCGCGAGAAGCATAAGCGTCGGGGATCTTGTATCCGAGTGTTGGGTAATCTACCTCTGTTTATCATACCATGTGAAGTATAGAAAATTAGCTCATATATTTCTTGTGTCCACGATTTTTCGTGAGATATCTAGGTGAATGTATCGAACCGAAAAAAAGGCATCATTGGCAGCATGATGACAACCCAAAAGATAGCAAATGCTTGATATGTGATACGACTTCCGTACTTCTGCAAAGACCACTCTAGAAGTGGAGGGTATACAAGACCAAAGATAGAGCCTCCTAGATAAATTTGATCAAGATGAACGTCAGATATGCTAGTCAGAGAAACTACGGGTTAGCTTGCTGCCAACCTACCTGTAAACATAACACTCCCTGCAAAACCTCGCCTGTCAACCCACCACTCGCCTAGAAATGCAAGGCATGGATAGCTGGGGAGAACATGAGCTTATCGTTCATTCTCATTGAGGCAAGCTTCACAAGCCTTACTAGATAAATGCTACAAATCACATACGAATCGAGGGTTGGGTTTTTACTTATAATCATATACTGCACTGAATAAAATTAAATGTAGAACTCACCGCCTCCCACGCCGTACAAAATGCCTTGTAGCAAGATAAGATGAGACGCCTGAAGCACCCAAAAAAATCGCGTATGAAGAGGTCATTCAGCGAATACCACGAAAAAAGTCATAGGAACAAAAATCTCTCACCTTGTCACAAAATCCAGCGCCTAAACATGAAGCTGCACATGCTATAGTACCCGCCGTTGGTCCCCACTTCGTGATCCACCTCTGATTTTCCATGAGTGGAATCAAGATGGCCCCGAAGCAGTAAAGGATGCCGCTACAAAGGCTTCCTGTTTGATTGGTGTTGCAGGGATCAATAATTGACTGGAAAGCATGGTCAAAGATAAAAGGAAATGGTATACTAAGAGTCTTATGGACGCACGTACCTATCAAGGCAGCGATAGATTTGTTCATATCTGAATAGGGCGGATAGTCCAAAAAGACCCCAAAAGACTGCGGGAGACCTTTGAAAGAAGAAATTTTTCCTAAACAAATAAAGATCAAAAGATATTTCTGGAGGCATGAATTACCAAATGTGGCCCCTTCAACCATAAAGGCGATGAATAGGAATCGCCAAGCGTGATAGCCACCGTCCACAACAGCGAGAGCCCCATCTTCTTTGTCGTCAAACGATGATTGAGAAAACTTTTCGATTTTGCCAGAAGACACGTCCTCAAGAGTCTTATTAAGGTCTTGTGACAATTCCGTTGAAGGGAACATGTTTTCGCAAAAATTCAGCTCAACCCTCGACAATGAAAATTCTGGGATGTGGAATGCGATAAAAGCTAGCTGAAGTAGTACTTTGGAGCACCTAGATAAGGGCTTCAATATAGATAGTCGCTGAAGTGTAGAGTTTGAAAAGGTCTTCTCGTCTTTCCCGTCTTGTTATCGCTTAGATAGATTTACCGTCGCTTCTATATATACATATTCATAACACTAAGGACAAATGAAATCCGAGCGTCCTTATCCTTATCTAGTACAACAAGTTAAGCTCCAAATAGAGCAGTTGAACTCGACAGGCAATGCTGATGCAACAAGAGGGCATGCAACAAGAGGGGATGAAACAGACAGATTCAAGTCCGCATATCTTTTACGATATCATGCCGCAGGTTAACTTGACAAAGTTCTCTAGCGCGGCTGCACTGCCGCAGGCACTTGAGAGGAGACGGAAATAGTGCTCCGTGGCGAGCACTGGGATTGAAATATGAAGGCGAGAGGTGGACATGATCAGCAGGAGCAGATAACGATATCTGTTCGAATACTCCAGGGGTCATACTTATTCTCACATCCTGGAGGATACCATCCGACCACCTTCTTGGTCAAAACACATTGTTCTCATTTCCCCAGCTACCTATCGTTACCCAATTTACCCTCATTACCGTCAAAGGCTAAGCATACAATCTGACGGTACGTAAGCATACAATCTGACGGTACGCCTTGTGTGCTTGTAAATCGATTTATAGGCGATATGAACCTTCACCATCATGCGTCTTTCTGGACTATACCGTCGATCGGATTCTGGCCCCCACAAGCGACCTGAGGCTGACGTAACGATCTTATCGAATTCCTTATCATTTGTTCGCTTCTCCGTAACTCAACCCTAACTGCGTAATGGGTCGTACTGAAACGAGGGACTCGATTGAATCACAGTACAGTATAGATGGGGTTTTCCTCAGCAGTACCCCTTCCCCCCAAAAATGCAGCAGGTACCAAAATCGATCTTGACCCTTAACCTTAATTTTGGTAACTGAACGGTACCAGAATTGAATTAGATAAAATGACACGATTCGATGTGTAAGGTCCCAGAGGTAGAGTTTGTATGGATCCTCCTTGACTTGCTTGAAATAAAGACACTCGTCACTCTTCACATCATGAGGAAGTTATCTGATTATGATATCCTATCTCGTTATTGTGAGTCTTTATGCAGTCCAACCCAAATCGAAGAGAAACCCCTTAGCCCAACCAGATATTATGATGGTGTCTTAAGCAGATGATCTTGTCATTCGATATAAGATAAATGCATCATTGGTCACAAACTTTCTGATAAAGTTCCAAATTTATGCACACACAGCAAACTCGCAGTTCAACGGTGAAAAGGGCTGCTCCAGCAGATCAGCTACCCTACTTCACGTGTCGCTAGAACATGGAACAATTTTTGTATTTGTTGTGATGATACGGTGATCAATAACATCGCATTAATATCCTTCAAGTGTTTGAAGGCAATTGATATTTTCTTCATACTTACCTGGAAATATTCAAATGTAAAATCTAATTCGATCACATATCTATACTTTGATGTAGTGATTACATGTGGCAAGCGTATCTGTCATTGAAACTTCATTTTATAATTTGGTAACGAAATCTGATAATAGCTCATTGTTTCACCCTCATACTTTGATGGTGATGTTTTGCCGTGTAGTCTTGGGTAACAAGTGGAAGAGAGACTTTTACATCGAGATACCGGAACGACTTTACTGATACTGACACGGTAATGTGTGAATGGTAGCTAACATCAGACCACGAGCACAGTCATGAAGAAAGTATCATGATGAGCCAAGAATAAAAACATGGAAGTTCAGTATCATAAATGCAATCTTTGTGTTGATGACAAAGGTAACAAGATAGTTCAATCAGGAAACGAATAATCTGATTTATCTGTGTCAGGAACAAGATATCTGATCTTGAAAAGAAGAAAAAAGACTATCAATCGAGTAAATGCGTGAGGACGGACACTTTAAATATGTGAAAGATTTTGTGAGGGAAAGGTTTGGATACAATCACACGAACCCGAAGTTTTCTATCATTCGAAATATAAAAAAGAGTCAACTCGAAAGAAACTATGATCTTTCGAAATACATGAAGAGTCGATGATATCTGAAATATTTCATTCTTAGTGAGATTGATGATAAGGATCTTGTCATAATCGACGACAAACCCAAACATCAAATCAGATTTCATACTGACAAGAACCGAGAGAGTGATGAGCTTCAGCTGTTCTGAGATACAGAAGAGAGAAATGACAAAATAAGAGACACCGTCGCTCTTATATGTACTCAAACACACCCATGTTATTGACACATTGATCGAGCAGAAAGTGACATCTGATCTTAGAGAAATGATATGTCGTGTTGCAAAATCAAGCTCAAATATGTTACGAATTTTTTTATAAATTAAATGATATGTATATACAAGTAACTTTCCATCCCCAGTTATGTGCCTGTACACCAGATATAAATGCCGAATATTCTAGATAATTCCTAAAATCAAGCAAGTCTTGAAGATGACCATTGCGAGGTTTTCAAAACCTTTCTAATGAAGCTCAAAGAAATCTTTGATGTTACATGTTAAAAGGATTAGTTGAAAGGTGATCCAGGGCGATTTCAATAAGGATATGTTTTCAGAATTTCTGATCTAATATATAATTTAGGCGTTATGCATTCATCCTACTGGATCAAGAGCCATAAAATTCCTAAGTCAAAATGGAGGATTAATTCTTTCAGAAATATGACATTCTGATTGGTGTTTTCTTGCGTACATTTTTCATGGTTTGAAAGACTACTAATCCTACAATGCTATCTCATATATTTTGAATTTAGATTCATTTGATTAGAAGGTCAAATTCAACTTGAACGATTTAGAAAGTTGAACTTACATGTTTCCAGCCACGGCATAGATTGCGTTGAGTAACTTTTACAAACGAAACAAGTAGTAAATTCATGCTAAGTTCATCATTCTAAATCTGTAGATAAAGATCATTTTGCACATACTAATGGGATGATGACCCAACGTGTCCGCTCTTCCATGAATCTATTTGTCTTGAAAGTAAGCTGAGAGCCAAAATCATCAAGCTCATGCTGCCATTACATATCAACTTGACAAATAGAAAGATTCAATTGAAAGAGCCTTACCTCCCAAGACAATATTGGAATATAAAACCACGCAGTAAAGTAAGTCACTAGTGCCTGTTTGAGTAAAGCTCGATGCTTTCCTTTTAATTCTTGAAGTGCAGCGTATAGATATGTTTGAGAATCTGGTGGTGAAGCCGGTAATGCCTTGGCGTATGCATTGATACGTTTTCTGAGATTACCGAATGAGAATGATAACAATGGAGCATATATCTAGATTTTCAAAAGAAAAACGTTGATAAATATCAGATGCACTGATCCTTGAAGATATGTGAGTCAATTGCTACGTATTTAGTCTTGCGAAACTTACTACTGCTAGAAAGACAAGCATACCCAAAAAGACGCTCATACCGAATCTAGTATAGTACGAGATAGCTAGCTATATTGTTTTTGAGCTGTATATTAGTTTTATTCTCTTTGAAGAAAGGACACTTCAGAATGAACAAAGTCACCTGATGCTTTAAAACTCTTTCTGCTGGTACCGTAAGTAAATCAAAGGTATGAGTTCCATTATATTTGGTTCCAGCCATCTTTGAAGCTTCGTCCAATTCATGAAAGGCTTTCTGAAGTTTTAACATCTCAGAATTCGCTGTCCCAAATGCCCACAAGACAGGTGCTGGAACATAATATCAAACCCCCATTGTAAATTCAGTCTTGCATATCATATTGTTGTTTTGTCAAAAATTCACTGGAAACTTACGCCAGGGTAAAATCACAAAAGCAAAGAATAATCCATTGAGGAATATCTTCAGTGGAGTAGGAATTTGGGTTTTCTTCCCCCTAATAACATCTTGAGTTGTCCATCTTTCATCCCAAAGTAAAGAGGCACAAGTACAAAGACAACCCCAAATATAAGACCTATATAAGAACAATCACACATCTCTTTCAGAGGGCATCACAACATTTTCTATCAAGAAGACAAAACTGAAAAACTGACCATGCATATGCTAAAAGAAATAGATACTTTAATCCACAAAGTAAAAACCTAGGTGAGATATAATGTCGAGTATGATTCATGATCTCGATCACTGCGAGGTCTACCACGGTCACTGAAGATTAAAAATGCGAGAATCACAATGGTGAGTCAAAAACTTGAACATAAGAAAAGTATTTGATAATGGAAGGCTTACATACACCATAGCAGAAATTCGATATTGCAGTGATTGATGGCATATCAGGTCTAAGTAAACCCTCTGTTAAAATGCATGAGAGACAGATGTAAATATTTGTCCCCTCTTCTTGCATATCGAATATGCAGAAAAGCTATGAGATACATATTCAAATTTCTGACTAACGGCGAGTCATTGCAATGCAATTTGAACGTTTGACTACGATTCTCAGATAGACCAAGACCGCAGATTGAATCGACAAGCTGATGAAAAAGAGGTAATTTGTCAGATTTGGCGAGTTAATTAAGCAGGTAAAGTGGCTTAGTGAAACTGTAATCACATTACATGAGCGGCCAAGATCAACCTCAAGGAAATGGTTGCATATGACGAGAAATCAGGTAACTACCCATAAACAATTAATATTTATAATCTCTCAAAATTATTGCGTCTAATAAAATAAGAGAGTGCTCACTGTTGTATCTTTGATAAGGTAGTCTCGTACACCTGAAGAGGCGTTGACTCCTTGAGGAAGCGATTTTATATATCGCATCAAATTTTGCATCTCCTCAGCTACTGCACTGTCGGACGCCATCTCGAAAAACCCTCAATGGAAGCCAATCGGACGCGATTACGTGATAGTCGCACGGCTTGCGGGCCTGGATCAAGAACTGTTAAATTGATGTAGTCAGCAAAGCTCATCTTACTAGGACGGAGAACGTACTTTATATCTGAGGTAATTGCACCTGTTTCGAAGCGTACTATCGAGGTAAATCGTTCGATGTATCTTTGAGAACTTTAGCGATGAAGATATGATTGAGAAAAAGGTGAAATGTCTATTGAATGTTCAAATGTTTCATTCCTGGAGCTCGTTCCAGATTTCGCTGCGGGGTGGGGCAGTCGACCATTCAAACACTACACCGGGATTCTGATAAGTGAAAGTCGGATTCACTAATATAAACTCCGATGAAGAACTTGTGGAGTTCATCTGATCTAACTAAAATGCCGAGCTAATGAAGACGTCATTTGTCAACAGAGCAGCAATGTGCGATTGTAGCGTTGGTGAAACATCAGGGAATGCTCGACTACTGGGTTGTTGGAAATGAAGTGGAGATCTACCAAGTTTGGAACACTTGGCTTGTCGGATGTGATGATATCGATTGTGCCCGATGTGAAGAAGCGCATGAGCTCCCGTGAACATGTCCTTCAAAAGTTCTCTTGAAGGAACGGAGAGCGAGAAGCGAGACAAACGTTAAGGTGATGAATCTGAAAACAGAGGATTTATTCATCTCCAGACTGCTTGTAGGCTACTAGGCCTCATGAATCATGATCTCAGATTGTGACCGACAATGTGGTCCCAACTCCTATGTGTCTCACTGAGGCTGTGCTGCCTTGAGGCATGAAACGTACGCCCAAAGAAACTCACACACGATTGCAGCGATCATAGGAGTCGGCATGTTTTTGCATATCACCAACATAAGATCCATGCACTGTCCATCTTGGACGCAGCATCAAACAGCGGGTGACTCCTAAAACAAAATCAATAGAACTCGCAATCGTGATTACAATTTCGATATGAGCCGATTCACGTTCAAAACACCTTACCCGACCTGGATTCTTTTCATCTCAAAAGAAATCATTGAGACATGGCAGTGCAAGTTCAATCTGATGATCTATGATGTTCCTTCACATGTCCCACAAAGTTCTTCTGAAGCTGTCACTCTCAGCTAATCACTGCTTAAAAAGCGCAAGTCCAATTAAACGAGCCAAAGAGTTACATCATTGAATTGATAGGAACTTGATTAAATTGCACACTAGAATACCCCAACCAGATGTTTGATGCATTCGAACAAAATCTATCAACATGGTGTCAATTTTTCAATGGTTCGAGTGGCCAAATCACTAGATTCACAATTTTTCGTTACATGATAGCAATGCAGGTATATACAGAGTCATCTAGGATGTGCATTAAGACCTCCCACCAAGGGAGTACCACCGAAATCAGTTTCAGCAACTCTCTAATGAAAATTTGATAAACCAAATAGAACCCATAAATCAGCAAGTTTTCTTCGATACCACAATCAAATCAGAAAAGAAAAGAAAAATCTTACTAAGAAAGTGGTCACTCCATGATCTACGACAGCTAAAAGTACATTCTGTTCCCCTTTTTTGAGTTTAGCAAATATATTTGGTCTACGTGAGTTAGTGTTTTTTGAAGAGTTGGTAAATTGAAACAGTGAGAGAGGACCATATAAAAAGAATGATGCAAATGACCAGCTTCTAGAGGCTGAAGAAGTGGGGGTAGGTTGAGGTGGATCATTTGCAGAATGAGTGTTACTTAATAGTTCACTTATCACGCTTATGGTCGGAATGGGCATAGTCTCGGCACTACATGTCAATCGAGTCAGAACTTTCCAACATGGTCCAGAAAGATCCAAGCTAATCTTACTCACTTGACAACACATACTTCAAAGTCAGGCTTGGGAGGCGCAGTTTTCGGGAATCGATTGTTGGGTTTGTACACGTAATAGAATACCTCATATTCTTCGCCGTCTCTTGATGGTATTTTAGGTCTTACGATCGGTGGATTGGGAACTTTAGGCCCAGATGGGAAGATTCGCAGTGCCCTAAATATGGAATCTTTGACCCGAATTCGAATATCAACAGCAGCTTCAGGGAATGTATCCAGATTGTAGAGAGAATTCTTACCGTAGCTGTGCCATACCCCCGGCTTGATCAAGCTACAAGAAGCTCCAGCCTCGTTCAGCACTTTGTGATGAGACCTATAGGGTGTCCAAAAACAAATTGATTGTCGGAATTGCAATAAGAAGTTCAAGATGTAGTCACGAGCAATCGAAATAATCATCCATGGTCTCATAAAGCAAGAAGTAGGAGGTCTCGTCCGGGACTGATTGAGCTGAAGAGACCACAAGCTGTCCACGTGTTCTTTTCGTAGCACAATATAACCTAATCTTTTTAGATAACCATATACCTGATCGGTTTCAAATGAGGACAAGGTTTTGGGGACCAATTGCATGTTAGAATGTGGATAACTTACCTGATATCTTTCTAGTGTCAAACCACCTGTTCCAATTATTTCCGACCATGCCCATTGTACAGACATAGGAAGACCACCGTGTCCCGTTCCTTCTGCATCTTCGGACCAGCATTCGACCGTACCACGTTCAATAAGGTATAATAACTCCTCAGGCATCAAATCTAGACGTTTCTTTTCGCGATTCCAACGACCGATCGAAGAAAATAGAACACCTTTCGCTACACCATCGACATAGGCAGGAAAAAATTGACTCCCTGTGCTAGCTGTTGAAACTTGAGTAGATTCGGCTGGAGTTGAGTGGTTAGATGATCCTTTTGTGCCTCCCCAAATGCAGCGTACATGGTCTTTAGAAGAATGACCTCGTATCCCGGCGGACAGAGCGGTAAAGAGTGCTTCGCGAGATTTCGCGAGAGCTTTTGACTGAGCTCCTGCATGTGCCTCAATGGGTTCGAAATCTTTTTCACCACGACGCGGTATGAAGGCTTCAACAGAAGGGCCTGTTGTTTTTGTCTGTGACCTGCAAAAGTCGTTGGTTTATCAGGTCCGTATCGACAACTTGCTTGGACTGATCGTGATTGACTTACTTTATAAATTTTGACAAGAGTTGCCAATCTGGAGTCTCTTCTTCACCTGCGTCCTCGTCATCTCGAGGTCGTTCCATATTGCGTATGTCCAGAACCGAATCGGAAGGTGAGATTTATCTCGGGGAACCAAAAATTTGTATCACGTGACTTAGAGACATTGACTATATTTTAACTCCATTCGGGCAAGGGTTTTGTCCAAGATGAAGGCTATTTAGGTACATAAAGGAAGACTTAACACTTAACTACGGAAGCCCTGAGCGGGGGGCTGCCACGGTCCACCTTGACATACAAGACACACATCAGCTGCAGGATACAAGTTCAATCATCATTTTTCAACCTTTTTCTGGACCTTTCTGACTTTCAAGGGCTTTGGTATGTATATATCTTTTTAATCACAAACATTGTGTCACATTATTGATCCTCTCATAGGCTTGTAGCCACAATTTGTGAGATTGAATTGGGTGCAAGGTTCACTCTGTCCGTGAAGTAGTCACACAGCCAATGTCTTCAACCACAGAGGAGAAATGATAAGGAACAACTGCATATTCGAATTCCTGCATCTCACTCACATACAAAAAACTGAGGTTTCAACATAATCTCTGTCTCTTTCACCAACACCATCCTTTTGGTGCAAGACTCCTGGTGTTTTATGCAGTCAAGTTAAATGGGTGCCTGAAGCACCCTCTATTCTTACCTTTGGGTTGGCACATATACTATTCAAAGTACCTGGCAGGTGGAACAACCCAAATCCTGCAAAGAGACTTACACCAAATGTGACCTTCATGGTGTTAAGCATTTTGGGTTTTAGTCGGGTGAAAATGGACCCAAAGAAAGAGTTTTGCAACAGAAGACTTTTTCAAATTCTGCCTGGGGAAATTGAAGTCCTGCTACTCATGAGTAGGACCCTCAAATAATATCCTTCATATGGAGGTTTTCAAGCTTCCATTGATGCCATAAAAGGCAGATTTTTGACTTTCAAAAATCCAAAGCAGAGGATAATGTTACAGTTGTTTAAGAAATGCTTACCTGGACCCGGCTCACACCAGGTCTGTGCGCTTGCTCAAATAATTTATTGTTTTTCAAAACTGTCCTCCATCAAAAATGTCTCCAATGTTGGAAAGATCACCCAACAACTCACCACCAATGGAGCCAGAGGACCCTTCACTAGCATCATCTTCAAATGGTCCTTTGATTTTGATCCCTCACCTCCACTCCTTCCAAATTGATTTCAGTTTTCCAGTTTCCAATTGCCTCAATATCTCAATCACCCAAATTTCCATTGGCTTGGTATACAAGGAACTCTGGCAAAATTTCAGCCACCTTCATGACAACCTCTGCTTGTTTCTTGCCAGATTTGTCCTTATGAATTCCACAAGTGACCTTCAAAGATAAACCAAGACAATGGTTGTGGAACATAGAGACCGGTGAAGAGCCTCAATTGATGTTGAAATTTGTCTAGATACATGGAGGTTCAACTATTGATCAGGCCGTATATTAAAGCCAAGTATTCATCTGATAGGGTATGGCGGCAGCCTAGCTTTGCGTATTGATCTGGGTTGCAAATGACTTTCCAAATTTTTTGCATAGTTTTTTGCCATTTCTTGAAAGAATCATGTGATATTTACGGTACTCAAAGCAAGTATGTGGGTGTACATACTTTTTCCCACATACTTTTTGAGTTTTTTTTTGGCGGGGAAAAAAAAAGTATGTTTGGGTCCAGAGCTATGTCGCTTTGAGGACCCCAAACATACTTTTCTTTTTCATTCCTGTTCCTTCATATGCCAATTGGTGTTCATCATGCCTCGAACTGGCCAAAGGCACGATATTTCTGTGGAGCTCGGTAAAGCCTCTGCACAGGTCTTATCTGTCCTTCAATCCACTTCACAACCCCCCTCTTGCTTTGCTCTACACGCCTGCCTTCACCTTGAATTGGTCACTACTACCGCTTTGGTGTTGATGGACGACTCCGAAGAAGTCTTCCTCTTCTCTTCGCTCTCCCTCATTCAAGCGTTCAACATTTTCCTCAAATCCAGCTGTGACCTACATGCTTTCACTACGTTACAGCAAGCGATTCATCAACACACTTTCAAGATGGCTTTAGCAATCGGTCAAGCTTTCGAAGAACTTATTCACATCCGATATGTTGCACCAAGAATTCATAACCGACTTACAACCCTTCAAAATCTAAAATTCAATGGAGTTTTCAATGGGACCGAAAGAAACTTTCTCCGACATGTATGTTCCTTTTTTTCCCAATCACACTCTGCAAATGAAGTTTCTGATTTTGTGCATGTAACTCACCCAGGCACGGATGTCCGAAAAGAACTTCTACCGATTGGCTGGTCTCATCCGAGAAGATCTCGTATTCCACAACAACGCCTCTAACCCTCAAGCCCCTGTTGAATGGCAGTTGATGGTCACTTTGTACAGGCTGGGTCATAGCGGGAACGGTGGTAGTGCTTATATGATAGGGCGGACGTTTGGTATAAGTGGTATGTTACAAATATGCAGTTTCCAAGTGACCATACTGACCCTTGGTCTTCTTATAGAAGGATCTGTTCACAATTTCACGCATCGATGTTTTGAAGCAATCTTAAAACTAGAAAACGAGTATGTTTACTGGCCCCCTCAAGACGAAAGAAACGAAATCAAGCAGTATTTTGGGCGCAGGTCTTTTTTTAAAGACTGTGTAGGTTGTATCGATGGGACCCTCATCCCTCTTTCGTTTGCACCTGTCAAAAATCCCGAAGATTTTTGGACTCGAAAGCATATCTATGCACTCAACACGTTGTTAGTCAGTGACCATCGAGGTCGAATCATTTATGCCAAACACGGGTGGTGTGGTAGTGCTCACGACCAACGGGTGTATAATTCAACTCATGTAAGTTGATAATTTTTTCGATCATGATTTGAAACTGACCACTTTTGTTTAGCTTGCACAAAATTTAGATCAGTATTTTGGCGAGAACGAATATCTCTTGGCCGACTCTGGTTATTCTTGCTCAAAGAATATCATTCCCACGTTCAAAAGCCCTCGATTACAACACTTATCTCCTTTGAAAAGGGACTTCAACCGGGCTCTAAGTGAACAAAGGGTTGTTAGTGAACACGGTAATGGGCAACTTAAGCTTCGATTTCAGTCTTTGCAAGACTTGCGGATCCTCATCAAGGATGTGCATTCAGCAACACAGGCGACCGACTGGCTCCGCGTGTGCTGCACACTACACAACTATTCAATTAAATATAACGATATTTGGACTCCAGATCATCCGCCAAATCCTGAGGTGCGAATCGGACAGGGTGATGGTGTTGGTGACCAATTGCCTTTGGGTTTGGGACGAAACACGGCATACCTCAGGCGAAACTCACTCCTGGAAGAATTTCGGATTTTTCGAGAACTTCGACATTAGTCTCTGCCTCAAAATCATCTTTACCTTTGTGTTCATAACTCACTTCGTTTTAAGTCTGATCAATCGGATAGCTCAAATATAAGTACTTTTTTCAAATTTTTCCAGAAGTTGTGTTCGCGCTTAAACCTCTTGTATCTTACAAGAGTTTCTATGTTATAAATTCCTGGTGTCATCATCTTGTAAATGCCAGCGTAATCACAACATCTTCAATTGCTTTCTCCAACAATAAGTGGTTCAAAAAGACATCTGAGAATCAGGTTGTTGAGAGATGTGAGCTCAAGTTCGGGTGAGAAAACACGATTTTCATTTCAAATATATCTGAGTGAAAAAGTCTCAAATACCACGTCCTTTTAGACTATTTTAATCAAACTTTCACTAGGTTTAGATAATCTGAAAGAAAAAAACAATTTTTTTGTATAACTTTTGAAGGCAATTTTTTTAGAACAACCAAAGAGAAAGCAATCAAATTTGTAAACATTTGTGGAAAATTTGATGTTTTGAAGAGACAAGACTTTTATTTTGATTTTTTTGGGTAGTTAACTAGTGGTAGATAACTAATACAAACAGATCATTCACCATCAAAACAACCAAAGACGATCGAAAAAGGGGAAACTGAGGCCTTTATTTCAAATCGTCAAGCGCAGCCTGAGCCATCCGTTCAGCCTCGTTAAATGGAATGGTTGATGCCAAAAGTTTGGCAATCATCGAGATTTTTTCGCGAGCTAATTCAAGCTTCGAAAGGCCTGACCCTTGCGTGTGATCTTCCAACGCTCTACGCTCCTGAGCTAATTCACGATCCAATTTCAAAATCTCAAGCTCGTCTTGTTTCTTCTTCTTAGCTTGTCTTCTTTCTATCGCCTCAGGTGTCAAATCTTCTTCTTCAATTGGTCGTTTGTTGTTTAAGTTTGAATTTCCAAAGCGTGATTCAATCAAACTGGCCATCCCATGGGTCGCTCCAGCTACTTGCTCCATCATGAGTTTTTGATTTTCATTGGCTGCCTTATTGTTTTCATTCATCTGTTTGAAATCGGCTTGAGTAGGTAATGATGATTGAAATGATTTGAGTATCCCCGAGCCTCCTAAATTGCGTCTTGAAAAATCGTTCTTGGATAAGTTGTTGGCTGGACTAAAAGCGGCTCGTGAGTTTGATTTCGATCGAGTGACAGATGGAGAGCTATCAGTGCGTTGAAGGGGTGTTGAGCTAGAGGGTTCTCGGAGGGCCACTTCATTGTTATTGAGGAGGTTGTCGTCCTCAAGAACTCGGCGTAATTCGTCATTGCTGATATCAATTGATTGAGTTTGATCCCACCCAGAGTATTGAGTCGATAAGGTTTCTTCGACAGGGCCGGCCGACAGTTGTGTTGAAGCGTTCGAGTTGATCATACCGGTTTCAGCTGCGTTCATAGGTTCATTGCTAGGACGATTGCTCATGATTGGAAGGAGGACATCGTAGTAAGAACATTTACTAAGTAAAATGTCTAAGTAGGTGAAGTCAGCAACACATTCCCACAATTTCATGGAAAAACATCACTAACCTTTGGTTGTTTTAGCAGTCGACTCCCTCATTTCTTCCTCCAACTCGGGAGACCATTGGTCAGTTTCACGTAGTGCGACAATTTCGGCCTCGGTATTCTCAATCATCATCACTCCACCACCGGTTCCTGTACGCCAGTCATCGGCCCCATGGAATTTACGCTCCAAGATATCAATCTAAAAAGAAAACATCATAAATTTTGGGTGAACCAGTGTTTCAAAGGAAAAGAAAAAAGGACACACCTGCTGTTTAACACCAGCCCAGGCGAATCCACTGAAACCCTTTGCCGAGAGGAACTTACCACACCTTTCTGCACATTCTTTCTTTTTTGGAATACCCATGCGATATCGTGAGTAATTAGTTGCTTCGGTATCGTAGCTCTCCATGCACATCCACTCCGAGTCATTGGGAGAATCTTGATCACCCCACGTGAAACATAACCACTCGACTATCAAATCGAGCATTGATTTGCCATCTTCATTTGTATCTTTCACCCACGAGATTTGTTTTTGAGTGGTTGAATCGTCTTGAACTGGGTTTTGAGAGGTGGAATTGTCTTCAACCGGTGACTGCTCGATTGAAGTGTTTTGTACAGGTGGTTCAGCGGTCAAACCTTCGACTGATGATATCGCACCTGAGGTGTCTTGAACTGATGATGGTGCGGTTGAAATCCCTTGAACTGATGCTTGAGTAGTTGAAGCTGAAGCCGAAGAAGAATTCTTACTATTCTTCTTCGAAGTGCGAGTGCCAGATCCACGCGGTTTTCTCTTGGGCTTATCGGAAGTTGGCCCCATCACAGCAGGGGTCGATGATACAGTAGATGTCAAGTTCGGTACCGAAGGAGCAGGTGGTATGGCTTGCTGAAGAGACTGAGATCCGGGATAAGCCAAGATGACTGGAGAAGGTGAGGAGATATAGGAAGAGGGGTGAGGATAGGATATAAGCTGCAGAGGGGTGGCTGGATTAGTAGTGTTGGTGTTTGCGCAGACCCATACGACGTCGCTCGAGTTTAAGTTGATGGGAGTTGCTGGAGGGTTTTGGGAGTTATTGAGATTTTGAGAGTGGATCGGTGCATTAGTTGAGTAGATGCACGAGTTGTTTAAGTTCGGTGTTGGAGGGGGATGATCGGACATGGTGGGGGTGAGGGGAAACTCAACTGGGTGAGGGTCTCAGCCTGTCAGGCGGTGTCAGTTAAATTTGCCGAAGGAAAAAAAAAATACTTTTGCCAGCCGCACATAGTTTCAAAAACAACACAAAAAAGTATGTGGGAAAAAGTATGTACACCCACATACTTGCTTTGAGTACCGTAATTGATTGGCCTAGGAGACACTTGATATTTTCTTGAGGGTGATTATCTTAAGGACTTCACTATTTGGCGCCCGGTTTTTAAGACCCGAAGCCCGGATGTCGGATAGTTGCACATTTGCAGCCCGGTTTGGAATTCAACCGGGCTGCATCTAATTTCAAACCGGGCTGCTTTTTAAAACCAACTATTTCTTCAAGAAAGATTCTTTGCTTGTCTCCATCACACCATACCTCTCCATTCTTCTCGGATGTCTCTTGATACAGAAAAGCATGATTCAAATTATCCAAACACTTCATTTGACCTCAAAGAAAAATCGTGTTGCTTTCACTTGTGCAAAGAAAGAGAAGAAAAACTATAACACACATAGGAAGATTGGAAAGAAATCAAGGTGATATGATGATATGATAACAAACAATTGGTTTTATAAATCTGGTCAAATCTCGATACAGAACAGAGGAAAGCAAATCAGTAAAGATGAAAAAAACGGTGATTAGAGACTAGAGTAAGTCAATGATTCAAATCATAAAGAAAATCATTAAGATCAGAAACGATCAAAAATTGACATGACTTGCTGTACAAGATCGAGTTCTACCTCAAGAAAATTTCGTTGCTGTCCCAATATCTATGAATGTAATGATTCTTGGTATCAACTGGAGTTTCAGAGTACTGGATGATCGTTCATCAGGTTGATTGATCAAATGAGAACAAATGAAAAGGGGCTGTCAGATGATGTTGAGCCCGGATTTGGCTGCGGCTGCGGGGAAATTTGGCTGGAACGGGCTCGGGTGTGTGAAAGAACACGGGTAAAGCCCCGCAGAAACCGGGCTTCAGGGATTATCCGACCGGGCGCCAAATAGTGCTGTCCTTATCTTAAGCCATTTGGACAGCCAGTAACTTGATGTCTTCAAAATATTTTTTGAATGGCATCAAGCAAGATAAAGAAGTTGAATCAATCGAATCAAACAAAAAAACTGAAATTGATTTGGATTGAATAGAAGTGAGGGATTGAAATCAGAGGACCATTGGAAGATGATGCCGGTGAGGTTCCTCTGGCTCCATTGGTGGTGAGTTTTTGGATGATATTTCCAACATCAGAGGCATTTGTGATGGAGGATAGTTTAAAAAAAACTTCTTTAAGCAAGCACACAGACCTAGTGTGAGCCAGGTCCGGGCAAGCATTTCTTAAATGACTGACAATTTGGACAACAATTAAAACTTGAGAATGGCTCAGTATATGGAGGTAGTGCATCAAAGGTCATGCCCAGAATCAGCAGGATTGTGATCCCTTGAGAGGAAATAAAAAAATGTTTTGTTTAGCATAAATTTTTCATTGGGTCCATTTTACCCCTACTAGATCTCATGACCTCTCACACCAGGAAGGTCAAATTTGGTGTATTTCTTTGCGCAGGCTTTGTGTTTTACCGCCTGTAAGGTACTTGTTTAAGTTTGGTATACTATCTTGTACAATCAGATGGTGTGCCAACCTTTTGGTGTGTCTAGGGCATGTTTTTTGGGCCACACCCAAAACCTGAATACTTACTCAAAGTGTGATTTTTACACAAATATTATACAATGAATAAGCTTATCAAAACCCCCCTCCTGAGTCCTAAGTGGTCAAGGGAGGGATTTACGGCAAAGTCATACTTTTCAACTGACAGCAGCAGGCATTTTGGGCCTTTTTCCTTGACCATCCATTATGAGAGTTACAGACCTCATCAACTTGTACTTGCAGCTAGAGGGTTCTTCTCTTCAGCCTTCTACATATCCTCAATTTTTAGATACTTTTCACTAATTAAACTCACTCAGAAGTGTTGTAAGAACTTGTAAGTTGTAGCTACAACACCTAATTCAATACAGGACTCCACAAGGTGCGCTTGAATCCCCAAGAACACCTTGTCCAACAATTGAAATAGCAATGAAAATCTGAAACTGGCACAAGGAGACACAAGATGTTGAGGAAGCTATGAGTGGCTGGAAGAGAGAATACATGAGGCGTGGAAGTGGAACCCTACCCCAAGATTTCTGCTGTTGTCAGCTGAAAAGTATGGATTTAGCCACAAGTCCCTCCCTTGAATATGTTGAAGGGAGGACTTTGATATGTTTGTGCACACTTAAATCCACATGCACAGAATAAAACCAGAATCACTTGATGTCAATTGGGTAGTTTTAACCTGCTTGACCTTATTTTGCCGAAATTTTTGTCATTTTCAAGGAATATCTGGATGTGCTTCAACATACTAGACTCACGATTCTTGAATTGGTCTTTCTCATCCCAGATTTTGACCTTACCTTAATTTCAAATGCATGTGCTCACCGCGAATATGCCACCGCTATAAATGCATGAAGGCGGTACAGCATTGTGATGCACAAGACGGGATGGCCGAGTGGTTAAGGCGGCAGTTTAGAACCTAGCAAAGATCCAGCTGCTTCACTTTGTGAGCGTGAGTTCAAATCTCACTTCCGTCGAGTTAACTTTTTTGAGGTGTGTCCTGGGGTGAAGGAGATATATAGTGAGATTAAGTGCTTTATGAATATGAACCATCCAAGTGGAATGTGGCCTTGTTTTGGACTGTGCACACAAATGTGGGAATGTCTCCCCTGAATGGGTGCATTGAGCTCCTTCAATACAACCTGATATCTTTCTGCTTTTTTATAGTGTAGTGCAGGTCCAGGATATTGTCATGTGCTACACTCTGTTATCTCTTTTGATTTTTTTGCCCTGGGATACTGGAGAACCTTATCACCATCTGGCTCTCCAATACAACACCCAGGAGCTCTATGGAGTGCCATAGCTCTTATATAGCCCTATGAATCTAACATAGTGCTATGTATGACTCCAATAGTGACTCCAAGTATGTCCAAACCTTCCTATGGTTTTTGTGTGGTTTGAAATGCTGAAGAGAGAAAAGTCTCCATATGTTATGTTGTGGTTTGCAAAGGTTTGCAAATGTTCTTTTTGAGACTTGATAGTCTCACCATAGTCTTATAGATATGTTGACTTTTGAATTAAGAACAAAAAAATGTGTCAAAGGTTATCCTTCTACCTGTGTTTTTTTACAAAAGACATTTTGTTGTATCACAAAATCACACATGAAGGAGTAAATTCACACCCCTTGCTGTTCCAGTGGCAGAAGTTATCAGTGTCTGATTAAGTCTTATTACCCCAATCAGGACTTATATAATCTTGGTGAGTCATAATTGCTCACAATTTTGAACTGCACCAGACCCAGGTTGCTCTATGTGGTGGAATTGGTCCTAGAATCATATGCAAGTTTTGAATTGGGATCAGACAAGTGGGTCCCTTGACTACCATTACCTTGTATCAACAATCAATAAAGAGACTTGTAGATCACTTGCGTTGACTTACAAGACAGAATTTCTGAAAACCTTCTCAATGTGTCAAAATGAATATGACACTATCAAAAGATAATTCTATAATTGGATGAGTGGTGTATAGTAAGCTACGTGCAACTTTTTGCAATTGAAAATTCTTAGACAGTCTTGACCACTTCATAGAAATTTTCAAAATGCTCTTCAAAAGGCATACAAGATGTAAACAAGGTAGATTATTTGTAAAAAAATGCTGAGAGACAAAATTTGAGACAAAGGGAACCTCTTGTGATCAAGGTACATCTGCGCCTGTACACCTGGTAAATACAAGTATACCAAAATTCCGCTGGGTATCAACAAACATGACAAACCTCCCTCTATATGTGACACTGAACAATCACAGTTGAAACATTGAAACTGATGTTTGGGTTGTCCAAAAAATGGCAGCCTGTCCTGGAATCCTCCAATTTGTGATGTTTCTGTCGGGTATCTTGATGTGCTTATACTTTTTGACATGTGGGTCATTGATCTTCTCAACTTCCACTTTATATAAGAGTTATATTGGCATACTTCATTCCTGTAAACGTAGTCAAGAACCTGGTTTGCTCTTGAAAAAGGCGCATAGTGGGACCAGCCGACACTTACATTTTGAAAATCTGGCTTTATTTCGGATGGAGAGTGGGCTTTTCTAGGAAGTGATTGACTAAAGCAAGCTGACTTTCAGTATCATCAACACTCATCCTCATCAACAGAAAAAAATCCTTGATGATGAAAATCAATCAAATCTAATCATCTCTTTGGAAAAGATGTTATTTCCATAACGGGTTGAGCCCACGGGGGAGAGTCAGAAAAATGAAGTTCACATGGTCATACAACCTTCAAACCTCCGAAGTGAAAATGAACCACCGGGTCCGGTGAAGCTGCCTGGAAGAATGACGGAGGAGACCAGTGAAGCAAGTGTAGAAACTATTTGAGTGAGTTGGAATCTGAATGTTGTTGATTTGTACGATTCTCAAGTCTGTACGAATATGTAGCATAAATTTAAGACAAAACATAGGAGTCACTTGCCACTTCTGAGTCTGTCGAATAACCGACGCGAACTTCACTTTTTCCACTTGAAACCCATTGAGATATCGTAAACACAACAAATCACCAAAAACCAATTCAATGAGACCACTTTCGATCACCAATCTCACCTTATCATTATCATGTTTATATCTCTCATTCGATCTCACTCGAGCTGCACCTTCACCACAAGACATGCATGCTGGAATTCAGCTATCAGAATCTAACTTTGATGAGTCTATTAAAAACGGTATATGGTAAATACTTTCAAGCTCAGCTTACATATCTTGGATTTTAACTGATGAATGCTTCCTTTTCTGTTGGACCATTCACTTCCTAGGCTTATTGAACATTACTCGTTAGTGATTTGGTTTCATCTATTTTTATTGTCAATCGATCAATGCTTACTTTTCGCGTTTCAGACCGTTTTGTGTACATTGTAAGCACTTCGCACCAACATGGATTGAGTAAGCTACCTTTTCACCTTAATCAAGATAAACAGCCACCCGACGTGCTGACTCATACCCTCTTTGCAGGTTATGTGAAGCTGTGAAACCATTCGAGACCCGTGGTTTGCATATGGCGCAGGTCGATTGCATTGCACAGGGAGATCTATGCGTCAAAAACAAGGTAGAATTCTACCCACAGATGAAACTCTATTCAGATGGTGTTTTCCTTGAAACCTACGGTCAGTTCTCTAGATCCTATGTTGAGACTCTTCATATCAAGAGTTAATTAATGACATCTTTTTCGGTTATTAATCTTATAAGAGGGTTCAAAGAAAGTTGAAGAACTGAAAGCCTATCTAGACAAACAATCAAATCAATATCTTTCCAATAAAACCTCTACAAATGAGCCATCAACACCAAAATCTACTACTGCATCTCCCACCAAACCGATAGTCGAAGTACCACAACCTCAGGCTTCAACCGAGGATCAAATCAGCACAGCTCATGATGATCATCAACTACCTAAGGAACCAATTAAGACCACACAGCCCGAACCTCAAATTCCTGAAGATGTTAAAGCGCTACCGAATCAAGATGGAAAATTGATTTCACTTACACCGCAAACATGGGAATCACATACTTCAACTGGTCCTATATTTATCAAATAGTTTGAGTTTCTTCTCTCCCTCCTCTTCTGGTTATTAGAAAATTGATTTTATCGGTTGTCTTTCAAGTTACGCTCCATGGTGTGGACATTGTCAAAAACTTGCACCCAGTAAGGTCATTTTTCTCCTGTCTCGCATCTCAACTCCACAAATTGATGTCATCTCCTCTCCTTGTTTTGTGTTAGCTTGGGCGGATCTGGCTAGGTTATTAATTCATCATGTCAATGTAGCCGAGTTCAATTGTGATGAAAAAGGTGACTTCAAAGCACTTTGTCGCAAAGAAGGTGTTCCTGGATTTCCTACATTATTCTTGTGGGTTTTTGATTTCTTCATGAGGATCTGCAGATGGCTCTTGATGGTTTTGAATATGATTGCATGTCAGTTACCAGGACGGGATCAAGGTTGAATATGTCGGCCCAAGGACACTGACAGCAATGGAGAGTTTCGCCAAAAAGGCCGCAATAACGTGAATTGATAGCTTTTCCTCCTTCGTGGTTTTTCTCTGATCTAGTTTTTTTTTTCTGAAGAGGTGGTGCTAGAGACATCTCGTCAAGTACGCTAAGAAAAGTAATGAGTGAAGAAGAAGTTTTCTTTTTATACCTATATGATCAAAATTCGACACCGAAGCAGGACTTAGTTGAGCATTCAGCACTGTGCATCCTTCTCTACCATGTCAGTATTTGTCTGATTTCTGATGCTTGCGAAACAGGACGCATTGCAAGAAGCCGCCAAATCCATGTTGGGAACGGCCATCGTCTATAAATCACATTCACCGGAACTTTTCCGTCAATTTGGAGTCCCATCAATCAGCATCCCGACCTTACTAGTCTTCAAGGATCTCGATGAACAACCATGGTCGAGTACATCTATGAATAGGACTGGACTAAAACAATGGATCTCTTCTAACAGCTTACCCATCATGCCTGAAATGAGTGGCATGGTATATGATTCAGTGTTGAAGCCGAATGTAAGGAAATTAGTGGTAATGGTCTGTTTAGCAGGCGGTAAGAATCCAGCGCTTTTAGACGAATTGAAAGGTTGGGCTAAACAATGGAGAAGAAGTCAGCAAGCTAGAGAAGTGAACGTGGTAGTTGATTGGGTTTGGGTGGATGGGAATGGTCAATGGGCTGGTTGGCTCAATGTTAGTTTCTCGTATTCAATCCATTTTTGAATGCCTACGCTTGAACTGATTTTGCTATACTTCGTTGTGGATTGGTGAATGGGAATAGAATGTGTATGGTGTTCAAGTCGGATCTGGATCAGCAGGAGCAGATCTGAGAAAAGAATCTAGAATTATTATTGTAGATGGAATTAAGAAAGAGTATTACGATCATCAAGCTAATGATGTTAGAATCACTTGGAATCCTACTTCTGTCTTTCAAACACTCTTGGCGATCGAATTGGGTAAAGTGGAACCTAAGATATTCGGATCTTTGATCGATAGATCAATCTCGGTACGTTTCATTTGTCATCTTGTTTTGTCGATGGTCATGAAATGATTCACAAGGCAGAACGGTCCGATGTATTCTTTTTTTAAACTTCGGTTCGGTGAATATTTGACAGAGGTTGAGAAAATCATCCAGTCAATTGATTGTAAGTAGCTTTACATCCTCTCTACCACTAGCGCATACATACCACATAGTAGGAAACCGAACAGAAAAAAACTAATCAATCGTTATATATTGTTTTTTTTTGAAATCAAAGGGTTCAATGCGAAATCATTGGATAGCATCAATGTCCATCTTTATTGGTTTGATAGCATTCCTGTTTAAGAAAAAAAGTGTGATGCATCTATTGAGAAACAATATCCAAAGTAAAAATCATCAAGACCTTGAACATTTTAATCAGAGAGGTCGTTTAACTCCTAATGGAAATAGTAAAAATAATTCCAAGTTTTCACCTAAAGCTGATTAGATTTTTTTGGTTGATTGATTGAGCTTGGACTTGTTCTTAAAGTAATATTACGTTGTATTTCATCTTGGATTCATGATGTACGAAAGAGATTTACATGAATTGTTTTTGAAGGTCTTTCAACGTTGTATACATTTGATTTTGGGTTGAAAGTTTGGTACTTGGGATTTTATCTTCGGTTGATATATACAGGAAGCCCGATCAGAAGAAAACCCTTAATTTCATTTCTATGACTATGAGCCAACCTTGAGCTGACCTAGTGGCACATCTAAAACTTGTTAGATTGGATGAAACGAGCCTTGTAATAGACCGGCAGTGTGAGTTGAGACTTGATCATCGTGCTGTTTGTTGTAGCTAGCACGATGTATGTCAGATCACTGCTGAGATTGAAAGCTGGAGAACGCATATGAAGTTTCTACTTTATCAAATAATTTAAACAGATGATTCATCCTTACACCTTTTGCATGTTTTACAGAAAATGTGACAATTGACTCCTAGACTTTTTCCAATCTTGTAGCTTATTGGAATCCCTGATACATGATATCCATCACAAAAACACAAGATGTTTGAACATAAATTCATACAATGCTAAAAAAAATAATCCTACCACAAGTACCCATACTAATTGGTATCCTTCTATACAATTAGCGATTTTGGCTTTCCTCAGAGCAAGTGAAAATCACGCAAACATCACCTTCGCACACTCACGTGCACCACATCGACATTCCATAGCGCGTGTCATGTTGATCGCACCAGTTTCATCTTTCTCATGACTAGTTGGATCAGAATAAGCTGTGGTGACCTCGGTTCCATTCTTGATCATCTTGTTAGCAAACATAGCAAATATCCTAAACATTCAGAGTCCCTCTTATTAGCAAACCCAAATATAAAATCGGTCAATAGAGTCAAAAATCAAAAATTGAACACTTCACTCACGGTTTGGTATGATCGCCCTGTGAAAGGAAAGTAGACCAGATAAAGTTAAATCGAGTCATCAGAAAAGCAAACCTCAGCCTATTTGACTCAAAATCAAAAAACTTACATCATTGATATAAATAGGAATAATCGTCGTATTGGGTGCACAAGAATGGTTAATAAACCTTGAGATATTACCATACCCTAATTGCAAGCAGATAAGATCAGCAATTTAAGTAAAAAATTGATAACAAAAGATAAAAAGAAAAAATTAACACACAAAAAGCATCTACTGTATAAAGACTCTCCACACCTGGATCATCATTTAATTCTTGATCATCATTTAATTCTTGATCATCATTTAATTCTTGATTGTCTTTTAATTCTTGATCATCTTCTTCAGTTACAACTGATTTGTGTAGCGGCTGGACCTCCTTGGTGGAGTCATCATGCCCAGGAAATATTAAATAACCGTTTTCATCCATTTCATGACCACCACCAAGGGTTTTGATCCACCATGGATCCAGAGAGAAAATATAGGTTCTTCCAATTCGATCGTAGAGATCACTGCTTCTAATCTCTTGCTCGGCAATTGTGATAAGTTCGCCACTAAAGGAAGATGATCGGCACACATTGTTAGTCCAACTCGATTGGTATCAGAAAGCCTTCAATAGGACCTACCTATAATGCGCTACCAGCCGTCCTTGAGTAACAGTTTGATCCACAAACACACCTTTAAAAACAGCATCTGATGTCAGCATCAGTCATTTGATACAATGTCACGCCAAGAAAGACACTTACCCCAGCCTGTTGCAAGAGTCTTTTGCAGATTAAGCTTCTCTCGCCGGCCGCGCCCCACAGTCTTAAAAAATGGAATATCAGCTTTTGACGTATCAGAATCAACTCTAAAAGTGAACTCACTCGGTTTAAACAATCCGGCCCACATCCGCACTATAATGATCAAGAGAGACAGGTGATCAGTGTCCAGGAAGACCTAATGAGTGTTTAAGATAAGGAGACTTACTTGTGAATTACATTCAAAGATAGGAAGCTTAGCCTGTAGGAACACCTGCTTCACAAGTCTGGATTCTTGGTCAGTCTCAGCATTATCAGGTGACTTTTTATGAGAGTGCAAAGGCCTTCGATCTGATTGGTAAGCAAAACCTGAGAAATCCCGTGCTAATGCTTGGGCGTCCGGATCACCTGCAAGTTCTTTCGTAAGGCTGTGAACCTTTCTTTCCTGATACTCGCGACAAGCGCAATTCTTACTGTTTCCACAGTCGCCGAGGCAGTTGCACTTCCATCTTGGTGTAATTGGTGTTCCACCAGTTCGGTACACAATCCTAGATAAATTGTTCAGATACATTCAGAGGCCTATATATGAGCACAAAACTTAATTAAACTAGTTTGACGTACCTGTCTGTATAGACGAATTCGAGTGGAGGTGCAAGTGCCCGATCAACCATTTTCAGCTTGACATCATCTGGAATTACCACCCCAATTCGCGGAATTTCAGGGTTTTCCCACATCTGGCGAGAGTTGATGTTTTCACAATAAATTAGTTTCCCCAAAGGAGTCGACAAATCTGGTTTCTTCTCTCGTAACCACGTCGCCTGTAAGTCGCTCTCGAATTCTCCAGGTCGCTCAGGACCTTCCAGCGGTCTGGAATGCAATGGGCGATGGGACCAATCGGGCGACGGGGCCTATCAGGTGAGAAGCCTGTCAATAATAATAGCAGCGGCGAGCTGAATTGGAGACTGACGTTACCTTGGGTTTTGGGGGGAGTTTTGGTGCTGGAAGAGCGATTAACAGCCCTTTAGGATTAGGATTGGGGATTCGAGCGCTCGAAGTCGATCCTGAGGGTATCGAACGATTCCTATTACGAGCCCGGTTTGCGCTCGTCGTTTTACGTGCCGTCAACCCAGGTATATGAGGACGAGTTTGTGGGGCCCCGGCCGTAGGAACGATCCGGGGCGACACAGTCGATGTTGCAGGTTGCTTCCCTTTGTCGGAGGATTTGAATGGTTGACTAGGTCGTTGAGAAACAGATTTTGACTGTTGTGTCATTAGATCGTTATTCTCGCTGGATCTCGATCTTACCTCGATCGGGGGTGGAAGACACGAAGGGGGATCTGGGCGTGGACGTGACGTATTCGAAGTCGTGAAATCTGAGCGCTGCTTATCAAAAATCAAAAGAGAAACAAAATTGATTGATTGAATGTGGGTACAGATAAGATAAAGTGAAACTCACCTCGCCTATATGTGCCCGACCCTTAGCAAGATGAGCTACTTTGTCTTTCTTGTGGATGAGCTCCGAGCAAGAGCCCGATCCTATCAAAGAACACGCGTTTGGAGTTTGCGTCTTGTGTTGTGAAGTGGGACGCTTTGATGAGGAAGCTTCTTCTGTTCGAGCTGGACCTACAAGCGCAGAGTAAACGACTGCTGAATCTTCATCCGAGTCGCCAATCACTATGGGATCGTCTAGGAGTCCGGAGTGGCTTGACAAGACGAGCGGCGTGGTCTCTGAACGGCGTTTCTTCGAGGTTTCAGGGAGTTCGTGAGAGCAGGGTCTGATTCCGTTTGAATAATTTGAGCTATCGATCGTTTTGCCTTTCTCTTTACTTAAAGCTGTAGGTCGAAGATTGGAAGCCTTTGGGTTGTCGGAACCAAGGACGTTAGACATAAGGTCTATTCTTCCAGATTGGCTACTACTAGGCCGATGTTGCTGACGGCTGGGTAAGGGTGCGCCTGTAGATGACCGGTGACCATTTGTTGCCGGAAGAGATGGTTCTGCTCGTGAAGGGTGACGTGAACCTTTCTTGCCACTAGAGACCGAACGAATCATGAGCCAAGATGGACTAGAGGACGGCTGAACTTGAAGGTAACGATAGCACGTATGAAAATCGAAGGTAAACAAGTATTGGAATCTGAAAAGAAAGATCAAGTGGATATGTATGATCTGCGACGGTCGAGGCCACCGTCAGAATAACGTCGTCGATGGAATCATGGGTTTGTAAATGTATATGTAATCAAATTTCGCACTTTGTAATCTCAAGAACTTGATCATTTCCTCTGCATTCACTCAGCTTCTCTACACTCTACACTCAATCCTTCAATCAGGTTTTGCTACATGAAGCCAATTTCTTGGTAAAATCCATCAACAATCAGCACCTCGTCACTCAAACACTTCTATCCAAAAATTCCTTCCAAAACTTGCATCTCGGCACGAATCTGACTTCACAAGATGGCGAGCGACTTACCATCTTCAGCATATAGAATTTTGGATGTACCACTCAATAACAATACCGAATCTCTTGAACTTGACTTGGATGAAATTTGTGGTGGCGAAGGTTCTGTGGATGAAATCGTTGGAATTTTTGTAGGAGAAAAACTTTCAGTTAAATATTGGACGAGAGGTGTGATGGAATATTGGAGGAGAGATCTAAGAGAGGACGGTGTTAGCTTGGGAGAACAAGGATTACAAGGTGATTTTGGAAGTTTGATTTGAATAGTGATCTCCATTCGTCGAAACTGTTGACATTGACGCAGTTTAATTTTCTTTGCATAAAGCTCTACGCGCTCAAGGGAGATCCGAGGAATGTCTACCACTCCTTTGCCAGCTCGTCACTGGTCTAATATGTCTGGCGAAGAACCTACCGACGATGAAACTAGAGACGGCTTCATACGATCTCTTACCCGATGCTCAACCTATCAAAGAGGTTTATCTGTCCAGGGCTCTACTGTATGTGAATGAAGCCACAGCGATCGATCCCAAGAATCCACTGGTGCTCGATGCGAGAGGTAAGCGATCGGGACATTGCTTCATGATCAACCATTTAATTCCAGCAGTTGATGAGGATGAGGGAATGCGTTGTTGCGGATGGTGTTTCAGTTGCTCTGTTCTTAGCCAAAAAGGAGTTCGACCAGGTATTCAATACGTGTGAACAAATCTTGAAGGACAAGCCGACTCATCTACCGGCACTATTAGCCAAGGCTCGGGTACTTTTTCATCGCAAGTACTATCGACCAGCCTTGAAGATCTACCAGCAGATCCTCAGTCACGCCCCGATGTTCTTGCCCGACCCAAGGATTGGGATTGGGTGCTGTTTTTGGTTCCTGGGTGAAACCTCCATGGCAAAGAAAGCATGGCAAAGAAGCATTGCGGTGGTCAGTCGCATTTCAATTTCAGTGTCCGTAATTATAGCCTCCTTGACACCATCATCACACGTGTTCTCTGTTCTCTGTCCTCTGTAGCATCCAGGTAAAGCTTCTCAGAGTGCTCAAGTCCTCTTGGGTCTGGTCAATTTTCATGCATCTCGTGATATCCATCTATCCGATGAGGCCAAGTTGTCGGCCTATCAAGAAGGAATGTCATACATTCAAGGTACCTTCAAGACAAATCGTAACATAGCTATCTCTGCCGCGGTCCTTGCCAGTCACTTCTTGACGGCCAACAATTGGGCTACTGTCAGTTTTGAGGGACCTCATCTCGTCTGGGTAATTATACTCCTGACCATTGGTTTGATCATTCACAGGCTACAAAAATGGCAGAACGGGCTGTACAGTATGCTGATGCGAATCCTATCCTTGTCGAAGCTCGCTTGGTTCTGGCCAGAGCTTTTCACGCTCAAGGTAAACTGGTAGAGGCTCAGAAAGAGTATCAAGCTGCAATCACCCTGGATCGGTCCGTCTTGAACCCAGTCTTAGGAGTCGCGCAGATAATGGTTGCGCAGAGTAGGCATTCCTCTAGTTGCCGATTCAGTTCGAATTAATTGATCTTGATTTCATGTCGTTTACAATTCCAGATGAGTATGTACCGGCAATCAACACATTTGAAAATGTTTTACGCCGGCAACCACGATGTATCGAAGCATTAGTGAATCTAGCCGCACTTCGAACTCATCTGGCCTTTACATCGAGCTCTTCAACAGAAGCAGCCGCCGAAAAGACCAAAGCTCGAGATCTTTATGAGCAAATCACAAGACTCTTTGCCACCCGGATCAAAAAACCTGGCGCTGCCCCTCAAGACCCTGGCATCATGCCTCCACGGATCAGGGAAGTAGCCAGCGATCCTGACCTCTATATTGATATTGCTCGATTATCCACGGATACCGATATTGGTCGAGCACTGAAAGGCTACTGTCAGTCGCTCGCTGTCAGGAAAGACTTGGAGAAACCGATACCTGCCATGTTGTTCAACAATATCGGCGTCTTAGAATGGAAAAACGGAAACCTAAGAGAATCTCAGGAGCAGATCGAGAGCGCATTGGCAGCAACCGCGAGCGCTGTGGTGGGCGATGAAACGGAGAGGGAAACTAATGAAAGGGCTGCAGTATGTATGCTGTACAACTTAGGGGTGGTCTGTGAAGACACAGGGGAGAAAGAAAAGGCTAAGGACATCTACGAAAGGATTTTGATTCGACATCCTGAATATGTTGATGGTAAGCAAACCTTTCTGATCGTTTTGAGACAAGACCGCAGATATTGATCTTCATGAGTGTGTTTGATAGCGAAAGCACGGCTAGCGTTGATGCATCTGTCGCATAGGAACTTTGACAAAGCAAATGGCTTACTAAAGGAAGCCTTGACGTCTCAAACCGGAAATGGCGAGTTGAGAGCCCTCTATACTTACTTTCTAATCGAATCGAATCAGATCAAGCAAGCTCGAGATTTCTCAGTTGCGACGCTCAAGGATCACGACAAGCAAGACATATATGCTTTATGTGCATCTGGTGCTTTGCTATATACCCAAGCTCGCGAAAACAAAGACCCAGGTCCCGAAGCCAGTATGGAACGTGCCAACAGGTTTTTTCGTGCAGCAGAATTTTTTGAGAAAGCTATTCAACTTGATCATCATTGTGCTTTCGCTGCACAAGGTTTGGCGATTGCTTTGGCGGAGCATGTCATCGGTGGTGCTTCTATGGGAAGCCAGAATGGACAAAGCTCGGGAACGGATGGAAATGCTATCAGAGCGAAGAACATTCGAGATGCAATCACTATATTCACAAAGGTGAAGGAAGCTGTAAATGATGGCAGTGTTTATGTCAATTTAGGACATTGTTATTATCTTCGGGACGAATTTGAACGCTCAATAGAGAACGTGAGTCATCTGAATTGAATGTAGCCTTACTCTTCATAGCCGATTTGCGGGCCAGATAAGAGTTTTGAAGAGTAAATTGATCACCATCATTGGGATTGGGACAGTACAACACGGCATCCAAACGATTTTACCAGGGTAAAAATATCCCGGTTTTACTCTATCTAGCTCGAGCTTGGTTTCAAAAAGCTAGCAAAGATCAAAGCTTTGTTTCGCTACGTAACGCTCTAACGAATGCTCAGGCTGTAGGTTTCAAACTGTAGTGTATGATAGCCGGTCACGTTGACTAATCCAAGCAATTGTCATCAATGACTTTTCAGGCCCAGGAACTCAATCCACGGGATGCAGCCACTGCATTCAATGTAGCCTTGATCCAGCAAAAGGGCCTTGAACTTTTGCTTGATCTGGACGCAGCTAAACGGACACTTTCTGATATCAAAATCGCCATCGCAGATGCTCAGGCGGCTCAAGAGTAAGTTATAATCAATCGCCCCATTCACATTCTGCTACCATAGTTATGATATCTCAAATCGGTTGTTCGGGTTTTAGGGCATTTGCTACGTTAGCTAGTCAGAAACCTGGAAGTGTGCCTTTTGAGACGGATATTGCACATCAGCGAAAGCGGTACGGTGAAAGTTTATTACGACGAACTGCAGAGATACAAGACGCACAGCAAGAGTACGAATCTACTGAGTCTGCCAAGATCGAACGAGCTCGCCAGGAACGAGAAGCTGAGAGACAAAGAATCGCAGAAGCTGAGGTGGGAGTTTTGATCATCCATGTTGACATGTTATCCACACTAAGAGTCATATCCATCATCAGCTCTCCCGATTGCAAGAGATGGCGGCTAAAAATGAAGAACTTGCACGTAAACGACAAGAAATGCAGGAATCTGCTGCATCGTGGTATGTCAAACGCGAGAGCGATAATGAGAGCGATGGCGGTAAGAAGAAGAAGAAACAAGGAGGCGCCAAGCGAAAGACGAAGGAAAGTGGAGTAACTATTGTTGATGATGGTGATCTCAACGAAGAAGGAACAGATATTGAGGAAAAGAAACCTAAACGCAAGGTAGGTACTCGAGCAGTCAAAGTGCCACTTGCAATGTCTTCATGTCAGTGGCGCGAAGTTGACTTCCTATCTTCATCGCAGCGTACGAAGAAACAGAAAGACCGAGAGAATGATACGCCGGCTCGCGGAGTCAGGGCTGTCTCGACGGCTGATGATGAAAATGAATCTGATGACGGGCCGACATTGAAACCCAATGGGAAGCGGAAGTCGAACAAAATTTATGTGAGTCATGGAACTCGCGGTTATCTGTGAGCTTTGAGCTGACGTGTTTCCTGACCCATTCATCCACAGAAAAGTGCAGAATTTGTCGAAGACGACAGCGACTGATCGTAGTAAGGATCCATTCATGGAATGGCTTAGGTTAATTGGACAATTGAGCTCTTAACTTTCCATTGATATAAGATGTCTCCCCATATGACCAGAAAATGGATGGATGGACGGACCTCATGGTTTTATTCACACTTGTACTTACTCAGGTTGTTGTTTGTTAGGCTTGTGTTGTCATTTTATCTTCCTCAGTCGATTTATCCAATGTATCATATGCAGAGTTTTCTCTATACGTATAGGAAAATCTCTTTCTGAAAACTAAAAGGGCAATACGCTTCTGTATGGAGATGCACCCATAAATGATACTGATTAGAAATGATAAGGCTTATGAATTACAATGTCTTAATTGGTTTCGTACAATACGTCCTCGCACAATTGGAACCCTTCGTGAGCTTGATGAAGCTGAAGTGAGACTGAACCTAAGTAAACAACAAGTCCTTTTCCTCATCTTGTACCACTCCTTTTCATCTGACTTGATTCACTCCACCCTACTCCACCTTCCAAGTGAACCAAAACATGGCGAATCTTTCCCAAAGAGATCGAATAAGGGCTCAATCGCGAGGTTGTGCCCTCTTTGAAGGGCCTTCGAGGTCCCACTCCGCCAAATTTTGACAGATGAAGCTCGGGTCTCGACGGGCCACGCGGGTAACTTCAAAACCCGAGGGACTCCGGATATCTCCCGAGTGTACCACCAAAAGGTCCTTGTCCTTGTCACTCAGAAAACCAAGATTGCACGCAAGTCCCCTTCGGGCTAAGCTTAACTAAGCCCCTCTCGCGCGGCTGCGTCCGCGCCCCTCGAAGAGGGGCTTACAACGGACTCGTACTTTTCGGCAGGAGAGCTCCAAGAATTAAGTCCCTTTATGTTGTTTTTTGGACTTCTCCTCAAATCCTCACCGTAGAAATTTGTGAGCTGCTGGTATGTTTTTCTTCATGCCTTTGTACATTTTCTGGCACAAGTTTCATGAGAAACAGATAGCTCTGCATGCTTTGAGAGCTGTGTCAAGAATGGGCCTTACAAGGCCTTACGTCCTCTTGTAATGGCCTAAGCCTTCTTCATATGCCTTGGATACGAAATTTGAAAGCACTTAAGCACACATATTACCAAATCTTCATCGCATATTTATAACACTTCCCCTCAAGGTGAGACAAACTATGAGGTACCAGATCATGTACAAAAGTGTGAAGAACAACATACGAGAAACTTGAGAAATTCTACGGTGAGGGCTCGAGGAGAAGTCCAAAAAACTACTTAAGGCACCTTAATTCTTGGAGCTCTCCTGCCAAAAAGTACGAGTCCGTTGTAAGCCCCTCTTCGAGGGGCGCGGACGCAGCCGCGCGAGAGGGGCTTAGTTAAGCTTACCTTCGGGCGTACGTCTTTGATGATTTTGTTTAGTGTGTCTCAAAGGTAGACTTATTCAAGTCCACCTTCTTGTCATTTCAAAATGTCACGCTTTGGAAGGGATCTGGGACTGATCCGAACACTCATACTGAGATGAGAATACCCTTTCCTTGATTTGAAACCCTGCAAGTCCAGTTATGTGACATGGGGCCCTCATACCTTCTGCGAAAATTTCTGGCAACCCCTATATGTAGTAGGCATGCGATCGGTGCGTTACCGATTGGAAGTTCGAATTTCCATATCACAGATGATGTGACTCAATTCAAAGACTTATGAAATTGATTTGAATTTATTAAGAAACAATGCGTATTCTACACATAGTCTGAGAAAATTAAGTTCAAGCTGAGTGGGAAAAACCAAGGCATATCATCACTCAAATGGAAGAAAGGATATTACAAAAAGAAATTGAAAATTTGAGAGCGAAATTGACTATTTTTGAAAGAAAAGCTCTGAGACATGTATAAAAGGCTTTGGAACATATATGAACGCTGACCAGATCAAAATTATTATGTGGTTATAGAAAGGCATGATGAAAAGAACAAAAGGCGTAAAAAGACTATAGAACATCACTTTTCTATAATTCATCAATTTCGTAGCAGGTCTAGAAGTCGGATCGTGCTAGATGTTACGTCAAATTCGCGAAGACAAAACAGCACTGCAAAGGAAAAGGTGACCAGCCCTTTTGTCTACTCCATTTCAACACAAGACTATTTCAGCATATATGCGCCGTGGAAGAAGAAAAATAAGTCTGACCTTGATAGCTTTAGAAGCCCATGCACTACAGCTTGAAGGGATTGCGAGATTGAGACCCCAGAAGTTGAACAGCAGCCATATCACTGGGATTACCGTGAGATGCGACCAAGGGAGATCGGCTGAAGAAGCACAGTAACCAACGAGGCCCGCGAAGCCGCATATGAGCACAAATCCCAACTGTCTACTGCGTTCGTAGCCACACAAGATCGAGAGTGAGAAAAGGCCTATTTCTATGTCTTCATCTGTATCCTGAAAATTCGATACATTATCAGTCAAAATCCGCATGAAAATGAGTAGGAGTGCGATTTACCTGGCATCCATAGATGAGCTCATGAGCTAGCTCTGAATACGTGATCGCATGCAGAGACCACCAAGCACCGCAGGGGGCGTCAGGACTTCTATATCTTTTGGTCATTGGAGAATGTTTTAACAGAGGGTTATACTGACCAAACAGATACTCCATCAAGAAAATTGGAGCAACAACACAGGAATCCCGGGAAAGAATAGCCAGAAATTGAGACAGTCCGGATTTCACCCCTTCAACCGGCGTGTGGACCATGGCGCAAGCCACCCAGGCTTGAATTACACCCATTGAAATGAGGAACGAGCCAAAAAATTGGGTGTAATGTGTGACGCGCTGAGAAATTCAAAATCAACCAGTCAAACCTTGAAGGGACGCAGACTGACAGCCTTCTAAACCAGATCTGGCTTGTATGAGTCAAGACTCACCTTGAGATATGGGTAAGGGACGAAGATTGCGCTCGACAAGAGAAAAGTCATGAACCTGGAACAGTAGAAATTTGTCTTATTAGCCATTTGTCTGTATCTGATAGTAGGCTCTATCCTATCTCACACTTCTATTGGAAAAAGCGCTAAGAGGAGACAAGAGGTGAGGCCAGACAAAAAGGCGATGAAGATCATAGCTCCATCCACTGTAGGGAGCACATAACCAAAGTGGAGTAAATATGTAAGTCAGCGACACTTGCGAGAGTTGCGGTCGTCGTGCGGTTGTAAGCTTACACGTCAGTTGACCAGAAGGAAGTGGTCGGCTTTTCGATCGCGTGACTTGAGCATCATAGTCACGGTCCAGGAGATCCTATATGATGCGCTCAGTGTCAGCTTGACCTCCAAAGCAATAAAGGACTTGAGCTTTGTACTGACATCCCAAGCTAATCCTGCCGCGCGGTAACTATCATGCAGTACCATCAGCCCCCGCTGTGGGAAACACCAACGGCGATGAAGTTCTGAAGATAGAAAAGCTTACCACATCACGCACACGAAGAGTGAAGCGCATAGCGAAAAGCAACTGGTGAGTTTGCTCCAGGAATCCACGTCCGGAAGTTGAGTGGCATGAAACAAGATAGCGGTATACAGAGCTGGTGCAGGGAAAACAGCCCAAGCTAAACCACACGGAATAGGATACACAAATTCAGTCAGACTTTGCGCTTTCATTTTCGTCTTGGCAGCCAGATGAGGACTTAAGAACGAGCGGGGAAGCGGAAGGCCACAAGTCTCATTGTTTAAAGGGACAAAATGTAGAAAAACCCGACCCACCCATTATGGTATGTAATCTAGCAAGTCGGAGATAAGGAGAAGCGATCGAGAGCAGTTGCGAAAAGCTAAAGGCACTTTCTGAGGGCGTTCTGGTGGGTATGGCATGATCAACTTTTGCCACCGATCCAGTTGAGTTGTGGAGTCTCTCTTTGTTTCTCCATGCTTGCTGAACGGGATCTCGCGTGGCACACAAACCTAGCTGACGTCCTATTCAAAATGGGAGATTGAGCCAAAAAGAATCAATTGGACAATCAGAAATGTAAGTAAGTTAAAATCAAGTTTGAAGATTGAAGACGGAATCATAGTTCAATCAATATAAATGGTTTGCGTCACGAAGATAGGAGATTGTTGACGCGAAAAGCAAGGATAAGGTGAAGGAAGCATGACTATGGAGAGATTAATTACCTCCAAGCATCACGTGAGCGCAGTTGTGGTATAATGACGCAACAGAGGGGAGTGGAAGCGGAGCGGAGCTTGGAAAGCGAAATCCGAAAGCCTGATGAACAAAATATGACAGGGAGACTGGGGAACTCAATTGAAATGATTCAATTAATATTTCTACCCAATACGGACGTTGAAAGGATCTGGTAATTGTGCAGCAGGGAAATAGAGGGTTGGTGCGGTTGGAGGTGGCTTGGAAGCGAGAGTGTGAGTTATATATGTATTTAGTGAGATCTAGTGGGTGGTGTCTATAGCTTGAAAACAAGAATGATGATGAGGGGAAGGGATTCTGGTGATTTTATCTTGACATTGTTGTCCTAGCCTCCCTCTCCTCCATCTTGCATCTCCGCGACACGAAAAAAAAAGTCTACCAGGCTCATGTGCAAGAATGAGAGGAATTCAAGACAACTCACAGTGGATAACCATCTCGTCCCAATCTTTCTGAAAAGCCAAACCAACAGTGACGAAGTGAGGGGGGCTGTCAAAGGCCACGCTGATAGTTTGTTTATCCTCGCCTGTACCAATCAAATTGCTTGTCAAGATACGTGCGTGGAGAAGAAACAACAGCCACACGGATGAGCCTGGAGAATGAAGAACAAGCACCACACAGTTAATCCCCATCTTCTTGTCCATCAATTAACCTTGTTGGCTGGTCACATATCCTTGTCAGCTTTTTTTCGTCATCTTGATGGCAATCCCTTAATGTGATTCCAGTACAGGACAGCCAGAGCCATCAATGAAGAGCTGACATACAGAGACGGCCATAGATTCAGCCAAGATCCACGGTTCTGATTTGATGACAGGACTTCTTCCGCTCCGATATCGGATCCTGACGGCCGCGGAGTGCTGGCCAGATTGGCGTTGGGATCCACCGGTGGCTCAGCGTAACAGATATAGAATTCAAGATCATCTGTCTGCCCACGATTTCGTAATCAGGAACTCTCTTCGACCCAACAAGCCGGTACAGCGTATCAAATATTAGCAAATATTCATACTTTTCGTTGCATATTCTTACGTTCCCATCGTTTTCGACCACCCACATTACAATGTACCTGCGCAATCGGCCTAAAGATAGACGCCAGCTGATCACTTAGATTGTAGTTCAAGACTAATATCTCTGCTTGCGCAAGACTGGTATGTAAACGTTGGGGCATAGAGTGATCAAACATTCAAAAGAGGTACGTTCCGATAAATGATGATATCCCTCGGAGGGTCAAGACGTTCCGACAAAGGATGATATCCCTCGGAGGGTCAAGCTTAAGAACATGAGCTGGCTAGTTACGTGATCATCGACCTAGGTTCAGACTCATTGCAGCCCTTCTGCTCGATCTGCTTTAGTGGTCCAAGACCAAACAGAGCCGAGCCCGTTGAGGTTTGCTATGTATGGAGCTCCTAGCCCAGCAACAGATGTCCGGCGGGCAAGGGGGCAAGTGGTCAGATATGTTGAATTGAAATTATGACGCACTGGTCAGGCGACCACCGTTGAACTTGAGGCCGCACCCCCACATGCAAAGATAAAAAGACGCAAACTTTCATATCCCTTGATAAATATCATGGGTATAGCTGTGACCATAGCGAGTGTCTTACGGAACGTTGCAACCAAAGTCCGAATACTGTGAAGAAGAAGGTTTATGGAGCTGAAGTATAACATATTTTACATATCACATATGTTCCTTCACATTTGTATACAAGACTGATTGTGAAGGGTAATGTTCATCTCCCATCTCCAAAGTTCCTCGCATGTTTTAGAGGAGAATCAGTGAGCACTGCACGTGGGCAGCGTAGAGCTCGAGGGTCCATAACCATCACAGTCACAGAGAAGGACAAAGGTGTTCATTTGAGACACAAGCCTTGCTGCATCCAACGTTGGAACTTTAAGTGTAAATAACCCCAAACAATGGAGAGTCAAATAACATTCGAATCCGCGAGCGGCTATATGTTGTACAACTGTACTCCACCACACTCGAAAAAAGTTAAAAACCATCGGTCAAAAGCGCGGCAAAACCATAGTTCTGGTGATAGGGTACTACAGATATATATCTATACGCACGTGCATGCGTCGGTAGGATGGCCTTCAAGACTTGTGCTGAAATCGCAGCGGGAATCTTTATCAGCTAAGGTCAGTCTAGATACCACACCTAAGTTTGATGCTCGCTATTCTCGATCAGATTATGTACCAAATTTCTACATCCGATTCCACGAATTTTATATACCCAGAAAGGACATTGACTGACATATGGATTGATCAATCTCGATGACAGGACTGCGTTGATGGTGCTTGAATGTCAGCAAAGCAAGGTCTCTCCTCTACATATACCGAACAAGGGGGGAGCCGGAGAACGCAGCGTCTACATACTCCAACCATCACTTGGTGAGATATACGCAGTTGTCCCTTGAGGAATTGCGTGCAAAGAATTTCAGATCCTTGACTCTCAAGGATCTGAAATTACCCTAAGTTGAGAGCGTGGTGGACTTCATGGCTTCCTTATCTCTGTATACACCGGTGACCGCAGGCATGATTTTAGATTACATTCCATCCCCTTGTGTATCTTATAATGTGAGACGTTGATACGTTTTGATTCTTGATTATGTACTACCTTTGCTAAAAAGCTTGCCCGGTTCGATCGCGAACAAGAGACAAGAGAGGTCGAATTTGGCCGCAGCCTGCTGTGAGGCCGCTGCGCAACTCGTCAAGATCCCAAATTTGGCCGATCACAAATTCTAAGAGATCGACTGCACCTGTGGATCTCTGACTTCAACCAATTCTGAGACACATTATGACTATATTCACAGCATGTCTGGAGCTTGGTATGTCAAGATCAACCATACAGTCGAGTGCAGCTCTAATTCGACGCTATTCATAATGGAAATCACCGCCTATTCCAGAGTTCTCCTGGTGCAATGGTTTGAAGTAGTGGTTGTGAGCACGCTCTCGGTTCAATCGGTAGTAGTGTGTTCAAGCCTTTATGGACTTTTGTGCTTTTTTGTTTTGGCTTCATGAGATAAAAAAGTACAAGTCAAAAAGGACAACACCTTTTTTTGAAAATCTTTTGTTCTTCGTGCTCAGTCAAGAGCTCAAATGAGGTCACCATAGAATACTGACACATGTCCAAGATGCCTTGAATTAATTTCGAAATTTTAGCAAAAAAGTTCACGCAATTGGCCTTGATCCCATGCTGGCAAGACCACTAACGTTGGCGGCTCACGCCACATCAAGCCGTTCGACTAAGATCACTTTCTGCAGTCTTGATTAAAGCAAATCTTTGTAGCACCCGCAGCGCGATAGAAGTCGCATAGAAGTGTGAGCATGAATTCATCATGATGAGGTAGATATTTGTGCTTTATGATAGATCTCAACATATCCCAAAGTCAGAGATCCACAGGTGAAGTCGATCTCTTTCAGAATTTGCGATCGGCCAAATTTGGGATCTTGACGAGTTGCGCAGCGGCCTCGCAGCAGGCTGCGGCCAAATTCGACCTCTCTTGTCTCTTGTTCGCGATTGAACCGGGCAAGCTTTTTAGCAAAGGTAGTATACATAATTTATCGTCAAAATGATGTTTGGATCAGCCTGGAATAACATTGGTACACTTGTTTGGGTAAAATTCGTCTTGTCTCTAGTCAACAACTTATGTACCCGAGCTCACATTTAAAATTTTGAAAAGAGGCCTCCCATCTCAGGATGAGCCCCGACCCCCGAATGCCGGGGACTGGGCTGCCCGGCCCACCGACTTTTTTTCAAAAGTCAGAACGAGGACCGACCCCGGTATTCCCCGAGCTTTTTCTGGCTCATAGGTCAAGCCCGGCTCCCGTACCCTGACCCCCGACAAACTACCAAATCCCCGGGAAATTACGGGGATCCCCGAGTCCCCGGCTATTTCCGGCAGAAACCGCTGAGCACAACCTCTCCCAAGCGTGTATTTATCCGCTTTTTACAGCTTGATTTTTCCTCGGGTTCCCCGAGGAGAGTCACTTTCTTTTGACTCTCAGAACGACTCCCGGGCCCGATAATCCCCGCGGTTCTGCGACCCTTCGAAGGCCAGAACGACCCCCCGACCCGACGGGCTGTCCTGCGGGTATCCCCGATTTGGCGGGTCTCGGGGCTCATCCTGACTCCCATCACCCCTAGTAGAGTCTACTATCTTGGCTCCGTGCAGCGTTTTCTGGGTTCAAGCTAGTTGAGTATCCTCTACAGAAATCTTATGCTCAGTTGCATACGCATACTCAGAATATACACAGGAGCAGCGGCTGCCGTGCATAGTGCTATCGATTGGCATGCACGTTCGCGGCCCACAAGACGGGATGGCCGATAATTACATCATGACAGAATTATAAGTCTTCAACAAAGCAAATATGTATATCAAGATTGAAAGAAAAACATAGGAAAAAAAGAACAGGATAAATCCAGCTTATGGCTGATCTATCAGATTTGACCAATGAATTGTGCTTGTAATTCTTGTTGTAAAGAAATACGCTAACAAATTTCCCAGTATCACACCAGGAACTCCCGAAAGAACAGCAGCGACATTCAGTTTCGGATTCTGGAAAACCTTTGTTGGACCATAGAAGAAAGCCATAGCGACTTGACCTCCCAATTCCTGTGAGGACTTGAGGAGTAGTCCTTTCGACTCGAAAACTAAAGAGGTTACAGACTCTCTTTCGAAGAGAAAAAGGAATATCAGTCCTGAGAATCAAGTCGATCGATTTCCAAGGGAGGAAGCCTTGAGAAACTTACAGAACTATCCTGATGATGAGACTGATGAGACGATCACTTGTCCTATGGCCAAGGCTGGATTGAAAGGTGAAGTAGCCAACACCTCCACCTATAAGGTCTGCATTCCAAGGTAAAAGAAATCGTCCTCTTTGAAGAAGGCCATGCCAATCCTGGCAGGTCCTTCGGCAAATGGTATGTTTGGGTCCTCCCACTGAATATTGCCCATGATTTTTAAGAAAGTAGCAGCGGTTCCTAAACCAGCTCCAAGTATCTGACAACATAAGAAAATAATTTGATTTATCGCCATAGTTGGTCGTAATAGCTATTGATCAATGATTGAGAATGTCAGCCTAAGTCAATTGAAGCATATAAAAAGACTTGGTAGACGTACTACATGAGTGATAGAGGTTCCAGTATCAAAACTCATATCTTGCTTGGCATGAAAACATAACAATCCCAAGATGAGGGTAGTCCCACTACCAGTAAAACAAAAACTATCAGCAACATAGAGATTGGAGTGAGATGAAACAAAACTTGCCTGGAAACCAAGGCTATTAACATACTCTCAAGCAATGCAAAGTTGGGACCCGTATGAGAGAAGGAATACAAAGTGAAGGATAGTGATTTGGAAAGGAATGTTATGATGAAAAAATTGGTAAATTCTTTCCCGCATCTAACAGAAAGGACATTTGACGGGAAAATATGCGTAAGTTCGGCTACTTTACGGGATATGAGGGTTGAGAAGTGAATGAGTTTTTGGTATAAGTTGAAGTGCCGAAGGATGGTGGCCATGATGGTATAATGTGTGGATTGTTACCATCGGGGAAAGTTTGAAAAACAAGCTTTATTCAAGCCTTCACATTTCATTTGTTTGAGTGGAAGCTTTACTGTGGCCTGATGATCTTAACTGCCAGATTCATTCAGGGCAACAGATGTCCTGCGGTCCTAATAATCAAAGCTCACCTTGACAATATCTTCAAAGCGGTTTGAAAAGGTGTGTATTTCTCTTATGGGGAATTGTTTCCGTTCAATGCTGGTAGTTTAGTTAACTTCGAAATGAACTTTATAAAACTGGTTTAACGCATTACGGTCCTGAGACCTAGATTTCTTTTCGTGCCCTGACTGGAGAAAAGAAAAGATACTAATAGACTACCTAACAATAACTCCGACCCTAAGGGGTGGAAATAAATGTGTACATAATCTTTTAGGTTAATCAGCTCTATGGGAGGGATGGTGGGTAACAAAAATTTGTTAATGTTCTACTACACTAATATGAATATAATACTGTAACTTGTACAACTAATTTTTGTTGATAATGGACTTGGATGAACTAACAAAAAGGAAATGAATACTGAGACGAAGTGGGAGACAACTACGCTACATGCTTTCTCTTACTACGGAAACCTCATCTCATCTTAGAACTCTCTTGAGACTTCTCAGAGTGAATGCGTATGTTGCACCTCTTCTCATATTTTTATTTTTGTATTCCTTTCTTTGAGTTACTAATCCTTGCATTCCCTGTCCCCAATTCCCGTTTGTCAAAACTAGTTCCAACTTCCAGTAATAAGACTTGGAACCACCAAGAAGGCCTAAAAGTCGCGATTGGATCAGTAAGGGCGAGATGCAATGTGGAATGATTGAAATCATTTGGGGAGTCTCATTAAATTTTGACTTACCGGAGGTAGGCACAAGTCATGTAGAGTGAGCAGATTAACCACCGTAGGTAGAGGGAACGGGGCTGATGCGATGATTTATGCGAAGGTGGGATCGATGAAACTCGTCAGCACCAATATATCTGAATATCGGCACAGAGGCAAATTACCTAGGAGAAGGAAGACCACCAGGAACTATCAAGGAACAAGAAAAACATCGAGATGAGAAAGCTGTCAAGGTCAAAGGTCAGTTAGTGACTAAATCACCATAATCAGAAGCAGTATGCTGCTATCCTTGTGGTCATGGTAGACTGTGGGCCATTGCACAGATGCTTTTATTCATGTATTAATTGTTAACAATGATCAAGTGCTTTTCGGCGCTGCTATTTCTTCAATGTTAGACATGCTTTTGGTGGCTTAGCTTTACAATAATGAGAACGTGATGGAAGAGTGATGGTGGAACAATGTCCTTATTTTGTATTGCTTTGCAAAAACTGGTTCCAACAGTGCTTCATAGTCCTGAGGATCATTTTGGGTAACAATTTTGTAACAAAGCCCTTCCATATGTGGGTAATCTGTCTTGTCTTGCCTATTTTCTTGCTTCTGAGGTTGGGCCTACTGTACAAGTCCAACAGACTGTGGGTGGCACCAGCCGCCGGAGACCTGGTGAAACTTAAAAAGAGAAAACAATCAGCATAACTTGCCCCTAAAAATTTATAATGTTTGAAAGAGAAAAAAGTAAGAAAATAAAAAGGAACATAAATTTGATAATGAAACATATCTTGAAGTTAATTGAAGGTTAATCTTGAGGCAAACATAAATTGTCTTGAGGTAAGTTGAATTATCTTGAGGTAATTCCTGCTCTTCTACTCCTTCCTTGGTTCCATGCTTGTATCTGAAAATTGAGAGAAGACAAACATTGTGCGGTGCTCACAAGAATGGCCAAGGAGTTTTGAGAAAAATTGGGGGAAGTCTTTGGCGGTGCTTACTAATTAAGGTGGGACTTATTTTGACACCTTGGTCACTTGTGTGCCCCTTCTCAATCCTACATTCCACCATCTCCTTTGTATTTCTTGAGCTTCAAAATGTAGAATACTGGGCCAGAGTTGTTGTTGCTGTTGAGCTTCAGCTTGAGATGCTGGCCGTTGTTGAAACATTCAACCACTTCATAGGGTCCATCATATCTTGGGCACATGTTTTCCATTGGTTCCCCTGGCCTGCCAACAACTTTCTGCCTGTCTTTGCTATCAACAAGGACCCAATTGCCTAATGTCAGTGTCTCACCTATGTGTGACCTGCTGTTGTAGTGGAATGCTTGGGAAACTTAGTTGGTCCACAGCGGGTCATGTGCTTGCACCCACATAGATTTTTGCTTTGTGACCCAGTTGAAGGTGTTATATGTGTGGTTTTCAACTATAGAAAATGCAAATGGAAAATTGCCTATTGCAACTTTTACTGCTGTGTTGATAGCAAATTCAACTGATGGGAGTAAGTCTAACCACGTACACTGCTTAGAGGATACTAATTGTTGGAGTATCTGTACTATAGTCTGGTTGGGCTTCTCATTTTGGCTGTGACTTTAAAGATGATATGCCATCATTAAATGGTCATCAATGCACAAGTCTGTGAAGTTTGTGCCAAAATTTCAAAGTCCACAACTTGTCATGATTGCCAATCATTGTTTGTGGTGCTTCAAAGATTGTCAGCCACACTGCAAAGACTCTTTGTGCTGTACGTTTGGTGGTATCAGTTTGAAAAGCAGGGATTATCTGAACAGAACCAGACAGCCAACATGTGACTGAAAGCAGCATATCACAATCATTTTTGGAAGGGGACCAATGAAGTCTAAAGCATTGTGTTCCATGGGGACTTGTGTGATCTTCTTTGTCTGTATATGTCCTGATGTGAGTGTTGACATTGTCCTTGCCTTTGTTTTTTGGTAGTGTCTCCACAAGTCAGAAAATACTTGGCATCATTAGTGAGGTTTGGCCAAAGACACTCACTTCTCAGTTGCAAGAAGATCTTTAAGGTACCAACATGACCTAATGAATGGTGTGAAACAGTTTCTGGTGCAGTTCATTGGTGTCTGGAATTACTAGACAGTTGCCCAGAAAAATTAGGCCTAGTTTCACCTCAGTGCCTTGTCGTAAAGGAAGGGTTGAGCTCAGTTGTACACAGAAGTGATCAAATTCATAACCTGGTTTGATCTTGTTGAGAGTTGCATGGTCAAATGTTGGTCTGACTTCACATAATGTCACTTCCTCAACGGGAGAAAGTGCAGCAGCCACTGTATTATCTTCTCCTTTCAATTATTTGAACTCAAGGTCAAACTGAGAGAAAGTCTCCAGCCAACATGCTTATCTCCTACTTAAATTGTGTTGAGTTAATAAATGAGTATGTGAAAGATGGTCCAATGTAACACTGATCTTGAGTTCCAAAATCATTCTTTCATTTTTGAAGTGTGTTAATCAGTGCTAAAAGTTCTTGTTCACATATAGGATAGTTTCTTTTTGACTGGAGTCATTGGCCTACTTTTCTAGGCTATTGGAGAAGTCTTGTCTCATTCCACACCTTGTAATAAGGCAGTACTCACTCCATTCGCACTGGCATCTGTGAAGAGCCAGACTGGGTCATTTGAGTCATAATCCAATGTTTTCAAATGCCTGTTATTATGCCTTACCCCATTTGAAGTGCTCTTGCTTCCGGTTTGAACTAGGCAGTGGCAATAAGGTTTCAATGTAATTACGGTACTCAAAACCACTAGGTCCGTGCTACCTTTCTTGAAAACCTGCTTTCAAAATGTTGTTTTTGCGGAGAAAATGAACCGTACAGAACTCCAAAAAAAAGTTCCAGAGAATTCCCAGGAATTCCCCTGCAAAAAGATCAACTTTGAATCTATGTTTTTCACATTTTTTGAAAAAGGTGGCTTGAACCTAGTGGTTTTGAGTACCATAAATGCACCAAACCATCCACAAATTTCTCCATGAACTGGAAAATTGAGTAATTGTTTTGAAGAAGTTGGTGTTTTCCATTTACGGACCTTGTCCAATTTTTCTTTGTTGGTACAGATGCCATCTGAACTGATCATGTGTCCTAAGACGTTAATTTTGCAACTAAATAACTTTCTCTCTTACAATGAACAATACAGCCTTGCAGCATTTAACCTTCTAAGAATTTCTCTTACATGCTCCTAAAAGAACCACATCATCAATATACACTACACATATTTTCCCAATTAAATCTCCCAAGTTCTCTTCAACGCACGCTTGGTATGTGGCTGGTTCATTGGTTAAACCCGTTGACATAACCATCCATTGAAAAAGTCCAAATGTAGTTTTGACTGCCATCAATGGAACATCTTCTTCCCTCAATTTTGACTGGAAAAAAGAATTAATTTGATCAATTACAAATTTTGTTTTGCCTTTTCCCACTATCCTCACTGCCTCATCAATGTTGGGCAGTGGTGATTGGTCTTTCACCATAAACTTGTTCAGTTTCCAATAATCACATACCTTGATTTTTGTTTGCTGTACGAATTTAAAGAGGGGAAAAAGTGAGTATAGTAACATGAAGATGAGGGGATGATACTTTGTGGTAAAAAAAGATTGGCTCCAAAGTTTAGATTCAGGGCCAGTCTGATAAAGCTAAAAGATAAAAAAGTGGCATCTTCATGGACAATTTGATGATTTTTGTTTGGTGTATCAAGGTCAAGAGGGGCAAAAGTGGGAAGATGAGTATGAAGATGAAGGTATGGGACTCTCTGGTTAAGTAAGACTAGCTCTAAATTGCAATTTCAGGGCCAGTTTAATACACCCAAAACTTTATAACATGGCATCTTCAGGGATATTTTGATGTATTTTGTTGGCCACCCCAGTTTTAAATGGTGTAAAAGTGCACATATAAGGGTAGGAAGATGGCAGTTTTAGACTTTGTGATTAAATAAGACTCACCTTTAAATTTCATTTTACATGCCCATGGCATAGGAGGATGCCAAGAACGGCCATCTTCAAGTAGTTTTGTGAGATGTGTGAATTCTGTACCATGTTGTGGAAGTACAAAATCTTCAAAATGGGTATGAAGGAGTGTGCTTAGATAAAAAGTCCAACAATGAAAGTTGTTCAGTGTGTAGAGTTTGTGTTACATAAAAGAAAACAACATCCACCTTTTTCTGTCCAACTCCAGGAACTTATTGATGATGTGATGAAATTTGAATCCAGATACAAAAGAGAGAAATTCCTCAAAAGAGCAGGTGGATGAATACAAGGTATCTAAGATGATTTGATTCTACCTTCAATATTTCGGTTCTGCCCTCAATTTGAAACAGTTTTCCAGGGAAGAAGAGTACTAATTCTAGAATTTATCAAAATCCTACTACAAACCCCAACCCAGAAAACCTTCCCTGCCTAATATGAAATTCTATAAACTTGCTTCTCTTATCTACAGCCGTTCCAACAATTAACGGCAGAAATCTTCATCGGTGTGTTGCATCCGAATTTAATCTAAAAGTCAAAAACTAGTTAAAGCCGGCTCAAAGTGACAGGTCTCCCAGGCCTCCTTGTTCATTTGCGTGCAAAACGGGGTTTAATCCAGTTTTAACCTCTCTAGATTTAACCTCGAGAGCGACACACGATCAAAGAATTCTGCCGTTAATTGTTGGAACGGCTGTAATAAAAAGATCAAATATATTTTCATTAACGCAAGAAAGAAAAAAAAACATAACCAAAAATGATAACAAGAAATGATCAAAGACCCAAGCTTTCTTAATCTTTTTTTTTCTCTTCACTATCTCTACTACTTTACTCTATGTGAAACCAATTAATCACCTAAAACCCAGATAATTCTATACGCTCTTATCTATACTGTATATCTTGGAAATAACTTATCAAAGATAAAGAAAAAAACAAACTTGCCATCATTTAAAGAAAACCAAAAAAAATACTAACCCACCCACTAACTTTTAGCTATAAGATTTCAATCACTCTCTTGAAACATCTCTACATTCACCCATAACCAAAAAACCAAAAACAAAAGAAAAACTCATCAACCCTCAAAATCTTTTCAAAACAAAAAGTCAAGAACAAGACCAAAAACAAAGACTTCATACCTTCCAAATAATTTGACTTTCATCCAATCTGTACAAACTAAAAACCTATTCCTAAACGAAAAGACCATTGAAACATAAGCCGATCTCCAAAAGAAGAAAGTAGCCACTCCACCCGTGGCGATATTTCCATTAAAGAAAGGTAAATCAGCAATCGCTTTCTCTGATCCGATATAAGCTAATGATCCTTGATGTGAATATTTAAATTCTCTTAATTTGTTTCTTGAAAGTGTCTTGGTGATCGAGCTTGACAAGAAGGAAAAGTAAATCAATCAAACTAAGCATTCAAAAGGAGATGACTAATAAACTAAAGAAAAGGTTTCCAACATACTCTATTTCTTGAACATTCGAACTTTGTTTAGCATCTTCTAGGTGTTGTTCAAGTTTCTCAACCTTGGCTAATTGATTAAATCGTTTAGCAAGGTATTGTCCTTGTTGAGAAGCAGCTTGAGCCGTAGGAGCATAAGCGGTTGCAGTGCAATCTCCTAAAGCATAAATTCCATCGGCACCCAGTAATCTAAGATGATCGTCTACCAACAAACCACGCTTCTGAGTCTGATGTTCAGGTAATGAAGCCATCAATTTTCTTGTGAGATCTCTTGATGTGTTTCCAGTAGCCCAAACCAACAAGCCATATGGGATCTGTTTAGCTCACAATGAGGATCAGTCAAAAAGAAGAACCGCTTCAAAAGATCAAAATCAATGGAAATCACTCACTTCAATTAACTCTTTCTTTTCATTTTGTGCCATGATCGTCTTAGGTCCTACTTCCTTTACCATGGTCTTGGTTAAAACTTCAATTCGATTTGACATGAAAGTTTGAGTCGTATAATCAATTAATTGTTTTGAAAACATTGGAAGAACATTAGGTAAAGCTTCGATCAAGGTGATTTTGACTTTTCCTGCAATCTCGGGGTACCAAGTTGAAAGATCATCCACTAAAAAGTCGTGTAATTCGGCTGCATATTCTGTTGAATGTATCAGAAAGCATCAAAGAAAGGTGAGAAGATGAGCGAATGAATTTCGATTAAGTGGTTGTTCTTTAACTTACCTACACCAGTTGGACCACCACCGACCACGACCATATGTAATAACCTGTCCACTTCATGATCAGCTTGATCTTTAAAACTAGCCGTCTCAACACAATCCATCAACTTCCTTCTAATCTTTTCAGCATCTTCCAACTCTTTTAAAAAACAACCATGTTCTTTAACCCCAGGAATGCCAAACGTATTATTCTCTGCACCCACACCATAAACTAGGTAATCATACTTGATCACTGTTGAGGTGACCTCTCCTTTGATTTCTGATTCGTCACAAAACGAAACCGTTTTAGAGATCGGATCGACTGAGGTGGCTGTCGCTTCATAAACATTCACTTCTCGTTTCTTATGTCGCGTTATAAATCTTGTGGGTTCGATAACTGATCGGGATTCAATTGTTCCAACTGTCACAGAAGGTAACAAAGGTGTAAAACAAAAAAAATTACGTGGACTAATCACGATCTAGAAAAAAAACCGAACCAGAAATCCTTCATTCAATTCTCTTGACCACTTTTGAGTCTTAAATCGAACAGAGAAAGCTCTTTTCAAAACAAAGAAAAAAAACTGACCACATTATAATCTTCAGTATCAAGTCCTTTCAAAAAACTAGTCGCACCCCATCCATTACCTAAAACCACAATCGTCTTCTTCATTGAATCTTGAGGTAATTGTTCATTAGGATGACGATCTGTCCAAGCCTTATAAACCACATACCCCGAAGCCGAGATAACCAAGAAAAGCACCGATCTAGCAAAAGTACGAAGTTTATGAGACTCTTTCTTCAAACCTGGTGATGATGTAAGTATTGGAGGAATCGAAGGTTTTGATGAATTAATAATTATAGGTGAATCAGGTTTAGTTGAATAAGACAATCTGAAATGAGTTTGATTATTAGATTTGATGATTGAAGAAAGTCTTGTTGTTCGATAGCTTGTTGACCAAAGTTGAACTATGAAATTAAAACATCCATCAATCATTGTCATTGTCATTGTCAGTTTTAGTATTTTCTTGATGATTGGAAGTGAGATGGTTTTACATACATTTTGGAATTGATCGTAAGCTACTCGATCGATTTACCATCATTGACATCTTGAAATTGAAACCTTTTAATCTGATTTCTTGAAGGTTTCTTGTAAAGTCTTGAAGAACTTGAACTTGAAGCTTGAACTTGAACTTGAACTTGAAGCTTGTGGTGTGCTGGTGTGACTGTACTGTATAAATTTACCAGACTCGGTTCGGATAATCCCTAATTGATCCGATCACTTCAAACCACAACCGATCATCTCACACGTGGTAATGCTGAACCAATGCATCAAATCATTAATTGTACTTTCTTAACTGGAATATCTAACTTAGACTCTTGGATCTGCTTGGAACATCTTTGAGTGATTTTCTTATATAGCTTCAGCCTGATGAGGCTAATTAAACTTGTAGCACTGCCGGCATAATTGCCTCAGATGCTGCCCTATGAGGCCATCATGATGCGCCGTGGGGGTGCAGTCTCAATATGAAGAGTGAGCCCTTTGGATCAAAATCTTCTTGGCCAAAAAGTTAAACAAAGGGGTATTGGAATATACAAGCTCAAGAGAGTCAATCAACATGTATCAACAAATCATCTTCAAGTTTGACCACTTGAAGATTCAACTCTTAAAGACAAGGAAGATTAGGGAAGATTACCAAAATCCAACTAGACTGATAGGCATTTCTTAGAGTAGATTAATAAGATCTCTGTAGGATTTGAGGGTGATAATAATATTCAGCCAGAGCTAATCATGAGATCCTTTGGCACCAAATTCATTCCGCATGTATAGCCTCAGGGATTGGTAAGAGAAGATTTTAAAACACCCACCTCAGTTGCAAGAAATTGATTCAAATATAAATGAAATGATAAACAAACCAAAAACAGAGCAAATATCCTCAAATGTGTTCAATAGACAGATTGAAAAACTTGACGTCATTTTTATGGCTAAGGAATCAGGACTAATTAATCAAAAAAGATTTGAGTTCCACACAACCATCCAAGAGGTTTTATATTGTGTTCATGAGGTTTTTTGGTCACATTACTCAAAAGATTATGATCTGGACTTCCCAATTTGGTGGTATTTGTGGTATGAGTTGTAAGAATGAAAGGTGTGCTTGGTAAAAAAAATTGGACATGAAGGAATATTTTTGTATAGAAGGATCCTATAATCAGAATCAGAATGCCATTTTATCACCATAGGCCCTTCAAGAATTGGGTTTTTTAAACTTCAAAGAGATTTGAGAGTTGGTTCAAGAGACCTGGTCATTTGATGGTTCAATCAGTTTACATGCATTCTTAGTTTTGTTTGCCTATGACATCATTTCATCATCATCACTATTGTTTACTGCCAGTGCCAGTCTTCTGATCAGAGAAATGAAAGTTCTCCTTCAATTGGAATACTCTGTTGGTCCAGTCTTTAGGTTGTCAAAAAGAACTTGTTCACTAGGGAATCATTACATACTTGAGGAGGGAGATTTCATATGGGTGATGTTTGGATATGAGAGTGAATGAAAATGATAGAGTATGTTGAGTGTATGTGTAATTGGGTCATGATTACGTAAACTTTGGTTTCTCTCTGTCTAATAACTTTTAAGATTACTATTCTCAACTTAACTTTCTTTCTTTCTTTGATTTTATTTTATTTTACTAGTTTTCCTTCTGACCATCTTCAACTTTCTTCAATTCATCCTCATCAACCAATCAATCCATCAATCCATCATCAATCTCAACCCATCAATCATCTCATCATGTCCGATCACGAAACTTCATCTGGACCTCATTCACCGCCTCATTCAACCTCAGTCTATGCTTCTGTGAACTCTAGAGGACCTGGTCGTAGGAACAACAAGACTCATGTTTCTCAGTCATCTGGTTCAAGTCTTCGAAATTCAAAATTCAATCCTGATCTCGATTCACCTCGTAGTCAATCTTCTGCTTCAACTAAACCTGTCTCTCGAAAGAAACCCACTCCGATCACCTCTAATCCTCATGATATGGATCGTGTCATTAGTCTCTTTAGGAATCCTAAATTCTATTACGAAGGTTTTTATCTTTAACTTTTAATCAAATCACATCAACTCATTTGACTTTTTGGGTATCATTTTCCAGAATCTTCATGCTGATACCACTGATTTGTGTCATCTTCTTTCCACAGGCTTCATTTTACGTCGTACTGTACTTCTTTCCGATGGTCAACCTCCCAAACGTACCGATCCACAACCAACTTGGGCGAAATTTTATGTTCAAATCGCCGGAACAACAATTTCAAGTTGGGATGCAGTCGAAATGGAGATCGCAGCCAAAGAGGGAAGACAAGTGGCTCCCAATTACACCAACATCACTGATGCTTCAGTCTCACTACCTGAATCAAACTCTTCCAAGGCGGCCCAAGACCTCAAGGCTCCTACTCCCTTCATCTTCTTTCTTAATAATGCAGGTCGTAACAAGTTTGTCTTTAGTTGTTCTGATCAACGTACTCTCCTCTCTTGGGTCACTGCAATTCGACTTGCAGCTTGGGAACGATCACGTCTTTCTGAAATTTACACCGGCACTTTACTTGCGACTCGGCCGGAGGCATCCCAACCCAAGGAAAAGAGTGAGGGATGGTTAATGGTTCGTCTTCCTGGTGATACAGAATGGACTCGAGTCTGGTGTACAATTGTCGGAGGGGATTCAACCGGTACTGCTTTATCAGGCTCGATGGGTTACAAGGATGGGAAGAGACCTAAACGGAATAGTATCTTTGGTCTGGGTGGTTTCGGAAGCAATCGACTCAGCTCTACCTCTCCCCAACCTGGTCTCAGTCCCGACAATGATCATGAGCCACTCTTGATGTTTGCACCCAAGAAAGGTGCCAAGAAGGTCTTAGGCACTATGAGTGCTGTTCAATTTGTAGCCGCAATGTATCCCGAATCAAAAGCCTTGATCGATTCTTCGACCATGTTCAAGATTGAAGGCAAGTTCCATGCGCACGGCCCTGATGGACGACCCATCGATCAGACCGGAGTCGAAGGATTTGTTCTTGCTACTCCTGGTGAGGGTACAGTAGCGGACATGCTTGGATGGCTCTTGGGTATTATGGATGCGTTTGCTCTTTACGGTCGTCCTGCGACACCCAATTACGATCTTAAAGACCCATCAAGTTTTTATTTTGGATACCCTATCGTCAGTTTGCCTCTTTCGATCTCGATGTTTGGCTCCATACTAATGACCGATTTGTTTTTCTTCCAACTTTTCTAGGGTCCCGATTCAGATAGACTCTTTTTGGAACGAGAATGGGCCGAGGATGTCGATATCAATGAAAACAGTTTGTGTGAAATTCGGCTAGCCTTGAAATCTATCTTGGTTCAACGCATGCAATCCTTGGCTTCGCCACTCTCTCAAGCTAAACAATCCTATATCTCAAAACCAGCTAGCAGCCCTGCTAAGGACATGGAAAAGTCTCAACCGGGAGTGAACAAGCCCGATGGTATGTCTCATCCATTCAACTTGGTCATCATCACTTCTGTGGTCATCTGGATGGAATCGTTCAGCGTTTGCCTCGTGCATCGTCCTAGCAGTCCTCAAAGAAGAAACCGACTCAGCGCCAGCGCTTGATCCTCGCCTTCTCAACCCCAATGGCCTACAAGGAGATCGACAGCAATCATCCTCTTCATCTAAATTCACCGGCCTAAGTCCCACGAGTAGTGGAGAGGCAAGTTTTCCTATCAGCTGAAGCATTCCCAATCAACATGGCCACTAACATTTTACAAAACTTTTGCCTATGCTGCCATCTCAAATATGCACATTGTATCACAGTCCCCAGTAACCTCATTTCACTCAGCTCAAGCTGCATCACCTGCATCACCGCCAGCTAGATCTCCCGCATCACCTCAAGATGTCTCGTCCGAACACGTATCACCTCAAGCTGCATCTTCTCATGCCACATCACCTCAAACTTCCCTCACGCTTCCTGTTCACGCAGATCTGACAGACGACATACATGAATTCTCAAGCTACTTTTCTATTCCTGAATCGACACAATCCCCTGGCAAAAAATCAGAACCTATTGATTCATCTCCGTCAAAGTCTCTGGTGTCTTCACCTGTACAGGAAAGATCGACAAAGTCACCGGATCCTTCACCATCTCAATCTTCACAAAAGATAGGCTCTCCTGTAGCTGTGACTGCCTCAGGGTCTGAACCTTTGGAAGTCTATGATGATATGCTATATGCTCTCAGTTTTGCTGACGATCCTGCGATGACCGAAAGAAATGCTGGCCCATCTTCATCACAGCAAACCCCGCTTAGCGAGCTTTCAAACAATCCTCAACCAGATTTTTTGAACCGACCACCACCATCCCGATCATCTCCTCCAACCATCACTATGACTGAAGCGCCCAAGACGAGTTTTCCTTCTTCTTTCGCCGCGGGCAAGAAGAGTGCTGCACGGATTGCTGCTGCTCAGGCTGCCCAAGCTGCAGGCAAGGCTGCAATTCACATGCCAGGTAAAGCTCGTGGGGTGGGAAGATCTACCAGCAATGTACCAAAGAAAACTTGGAATGAGGACAGCGAAGATGAGGAAGACGAAGATGAGGAGGAAGAGGAAGAAGAGGAGGATGACGATGATGATGATGATAATAATCTACAATCTATGAGGCCATCACCATCGGTCCGTTCACCAACTGAACGATTGCCTGATACTGGTAAGTGTCTGCTTTTCCTAACTTTTTCAGTATCAAGATCTCACTCTTCATTTCTTTACCTAGGTCATCAATCCGTTCGCAATACTATGGCTCATCAATTACCTTCATCAACGCATGGTAAGTACTCAAACCAACCATGATGTCAAATGAAGTAGAGCTAAGATGAAGTATTTTCTCGGGTAGTTTCTTCTTCCCATATGCACCATCCGCAACATAGTACAGGTGAACAGCATGGTCACTTTCCAAGTTCGACATCGCGTCGGGAGATACCAGCGGTACTACGAGATCAACCTGAACCAATTGATACAACTGGTCTCCGACCCGCCTTTAGTACTCACGGTTTACTACATCGGGTAATGCAGGAGAAGCAAGAGAAATCGATCCAGTCGATCCAAGAAGCGGCCCATCGATCAGGCGAGCCATTAGTGCAAGTGAATCATAAACCACCACCACCCCAGAATGGATTATTAGGAGCGATTGCAAGTCATGAGCGAGATCGAAAACGAGATGGAGGAATGGGAGCGGTTTTGACCGAAAGAGTTAGAGAACGAAAAGTTTTAGAAGGTAGACAAAGAGAAATGGAAGAGATGCATCGAGCCTCAATGGTGAATGGAGGGATGGGTATGATGGGATATCCTAATTATGGACCTATGATGCAAGCTGGAATGATGCCTATGATGTATAATCCTTCGATGATGGGAGGAATGGCTGGGATGGGAAGTCCACCGGGTAGTGGAGGTGGATATGAACAAATGATGTTTCATCAAGCTCATCAAATGCAAATGCAGCAACAAGCTATGCTCGCAGCTCAACAAGTCGGTCATCTTTTTTTTTCTATTGACGCGTTCTTCTGGAGTCTGGAAATACCTGACTTGAATCCGATTATATATTCGAATTAATCTAATGTTTTTTTTTTGGTTTTTGTTTGATTTTTATTTGTTTCATAGGCTTATATGTCATCCTTTTCAGGATATCCTGGAGGACCTAATCAAATGATAGGATCAAGTCCTAATCTGATGGGTACACCTAGTATGATTGGAGGTAATCTGAATTCACATCAAAGTATGTATTTACCAAATCATGGAGGATATCTAAATGGAAATAATTATCAAATGATGACACCTGGTGGTGGTGGTGGTTCTGGTGGTGGTGGTTCAATGATTGGAACTCATTCGAATCATCCTACACCTCCTACTGCGGGTCATCAATCACAAATGAATTATTTTGGAAGTGTTGGAAAGATCAATCAACCACAACAACAGAATCATGAGAATGGAGCACAATAAGAAGAAACTTTAATAAACAATAATGGGGAAAGGATGTAGTTTTTTTTTTTGAAGTTTTTTTTTCTTTTCTTTAGTGAAATAGATTTTTGTCTTTTTTTTTAAATCAAAATAAGATGAAAATTAACAAATTTGTGGACAAGACTTTATTTATTTTCGTTTCATTTGGTTTTTTTCTGTGTTGGTTTTTGTTTTTCTCTCTTTCTCTCGCTTCAAGTTCTATTCTGTTTAATCTGTTTGTGATGTTTTGTTTGATTTGGTTTTGTGATATACATACAATAGAGATAAGAAGAAAGAAAGATATATATTAAAAGAAGGAAAGTTTGAAGGATTGTTATTATATACATAGGAAATGAAGGATGACATTGATAATCTTATATGAAGTTTGTGGTTTTGTTTTGATGATCTGAGAAGTGTATGGTGTAGTGGAATAGTATAGCAAAGTAAAGTCTTGAGAATAGGTTTTTGCTATAGATATTTCAGTTTTTGGAATAAATTTTTCTTAATGAATTCCTTGTCTGCTAAGACATCAAGAGATAGAGAATGAGCCCAGAGGTTATCGAAAGTGGGGTGAGTGTGAGAGCTGGGCTGAGGGAAAGGCAATCGATGATATGAGGTGTAACCCCAACGTAATCGCTCTCCACGGCCGAAAATAAGACTTTTAAGCTTTTTGAGAGAGATGGACCGAAAATAAGGCTCAATATTCCGATCAGCTTGGATCAGCAAAGATTACGCACACTACAAAAGAATCGCATAAACGAATCAAGTCATGACCATCATGCCAACTGAGCATTCCTTAACTCGATTACTTCTTATCTCATTAATATTCATCTTTAGAAATCCATCAAATCAAATCAATTCATTCAATCTTCTATACCAATAAAACGAGAAAAGATTGATAAGATGGAAAACACGATCAATCAAATAACTAGCTTACCATACGAGATTCTAGTGATGATCTTACGAGAATTTGTTAATCAAATAAATGCAAGAAATGATTCAAGCCGTAGATGGAGTGATACAGAAAAGCTTCAAAAGAAACCATCAATGAGAGATTTAATAAATTTAAGATTGGTTAGTAAGAGATGGTCAAAGAGTGTGTTATCGATTTATTTTGAATCGATTACTATTGATAGTTCAGAAAGGGCTAGATTGATTTTGGATCATTGGAATGAAGATTTCTTTGGACTTGAGGATTATTGTCCGGTTAAAACTCTTAAGATTAAAGGTCTTTGGTATCCTTATGAACATGAAGAAGGGGAACATGTTGAAGGGCTTAGGATTTTAAAGAAAAGTAAGAACTCAATGATTCTTATTAGCATTGATTGAGTCCATTTACTAACTTTTGTTCTACTTTTGTTTTTTTTGGATGTAAATAAAAGGATTAACTCTAGTATCAATAGATCAACTCACAAGTTTAATCGAATTACTTGGTAAAAACTTAACAAGTTTAAAAATCACATTTTACAAGTACGCAGGACTTTCGAATCGGTTCATCAAAGTTTCTCAACCGATTCTCAAATCATTAAAATCATTAAAACTTTCAGTACACAGAAGACCGGATTTCGAATACTCCAATTTAACTTCCATCACCCGCTTTTTACACAACTTACCACAACTTGAATCTTTAACTTTATTTTCAGTTTTATTTGATTCATCTGTCATCATCGGATTCGGTTCACAAGAATCAAAACCAATAGGTTTAACAAATTTACAACACTTTAGTTTCGTTTTATTCGAAACTAATTATGAATTGATTTCACAATTTACAAAGAGTTCAAAGAATACATTAAAGACTATTCGATTATTATCATGTTCAAGTTCAGATGAAGCAATAGAAAAAGTTTTAAGTCCAATTAAAGATACATTAGAAGGAATCTTTACGAGCTCTTTTACTGATGAAATCATTGGAAATGTCATTCAATGGAGTTTTCCAAACTTACGCGTTATAGGAACTCATCATCATCCTAGATGGATTTGTGAAAAGCTTCATTGGTTACAAGTTGAGATGTTAAGATACGTACGAACGATTGTGATTGATTTAGATGGTGGTGAAGAGTATTGGTCTGAAAGTTTTAGTGTGATGGAACCTGATGTATTGAAGAATGTACCGAACCTTAAACTGATTGTGTTTTGTGATCGGTATGAAGAATCTGAGGTTCAATTCATTGATCCTGATTTGGTTGAAAGTTTTAGGGAACATGGGATTCAATGTCATCTCATTGATAAATTGGTTCCAGATGAAATCATGGTATGTTTAGAATTTTGTTTCTTGTCTTTTGAAAGTCAAAGGCGTTTGAAGAATTGATGCTGATTTGGTTTACTTGGTTATTAGGAATTGGATTATAAACTTAATGGACCAATGCTAAAATGAATTGAAGAATTAGATTTCACTGATTCATGATCCGATTCCACCCTGAACTCTGATTTCTTTAATTCCAAACTGATGTTTTGAAATCTTGGTAGTCTTTCTTTTGGTTTTAATATCTCAATGTTTCTTCAACTTTTTTCAATTTCATCATGATTTGTTCTTTTTGCAAAAGAAATATATAATTTACTATTGCTAGAATTATTGGGTGTATTGATGTCTGATGAAGACCATCAGAAATCTAATGGCTTCTTCCTCATTATTAGATCCTTGAAGTTGAACTAAGCACTAAACAACAAATAAAAGCATTATGCATCAATGATTTTGATCAAGTGTGATGATCTCTATGTATTATGTATCATACTTGAGAGATCATATTAGAGCGGAGCAGGACGTTCAAATAGAATTTCAATACGACTTCATCCATCTAGAAACCAGAGTCGTGTTCTGTGTCGGTGGTCTTAAAAGGGGCTTTTATGTCAACTTTTTTAAAGTTTGTCCTACTCCTTCTATACATCTTGAATACCAACGTCAAGGGTTTTTCCTTTTGTTTGTGATTGTCAAATGATTGCTTACTATGATCAAAGTCTCTCACTTGATCTAGCATCTTTGTTATCCAATTACAGACTCTTTAAGAGACCCAAACCCACGGATTGTGGATAGAAACTATTGAGTTTTGAAGATGTGATACAAAACCTGATAAAGCTCTTTGGTGTCAAGTGGCGTACTTCCAGCATGAGGCATCTTTTTATAAATCTCTTAGCTTGAAATTGTGAACAGACATTTTGACAACACAAATCACATTTTTCTTCACCTCAAAATCTTTGAAAACATGTTTGTTACTTGGTAACAAAATTGGATTGATAAAAATTGGTCACGAGTTTGATTTTGGTTTGATGAGTATGTTCACAAAGACTTTTTCAAAGAATGTATGCGTTGGTAAAAACTATTTCAAGATACTTGGGAGCAAATTTAGACAAGAGTGTATGCGTATATAACTTATTGAAGGTATCTTTGCTTTTTTCAAAATGAACCGGATTAGAGATTCTACTGACCATAACAGACAACAGACAACAGACAACTTGTAGTGGTATTGTATATTTGGCTAAAGCTCTGAGTTTATAGGAATTACAACAATTGAGAAATCGAGATGGATTAGAAAGTCATATTTTGTTTGTGTGTTCACAAAAAAGTTCAAATATGAATACCCCACTACAAGTTCAGGAAGTGTTTGCATTCACGATACTTTCCTTTTACGTCCTTTTCTGAAGCAAAAAGTAAACGCAAAAGGCACTTTTTGATCATGACACCTTCTGCCGAGTACAAAAATAATAGCGAGAGTCAGTTTCGATCCGACGACCTCTGGGTGGCTTGTGCGCAGCGATGCATGCACGAGTATGAGCCCAGCGCGCTACCAGCTGCGCCATCTCGCTTGTGAAAGTTCGGGCTTGTGAGGCTTTTTGGATTCTCAAACATTCTAAATCCGCTCTAATTCCCTCGAAATTCATCTTATTCCAACAATAACCGGGCCTGATCTTTCAAAGTGCTACGTCAATTTTCAAAATTGTTGCGGTCATCTCTCAGCTCTACAGAGGTAACACGAAATGAATGTGAGTTTGTTTACCTTTCTATTACGCTTTACCCGCCTCTTCTTTGCTTTTTGGTGTGTCTAAGCCTCCTGTGTTGCAAAAAATGAGTGATGAAGGTAGATTGATTATCTGATTGGAAATCTCAATGCTATCTGTATTGGCATCTGACAAAGATAGTCATAGGTTCCATGGTTTCTTCCTGATTGTCATTCAGGAATTCGAGCTTTGATCCTTGGGTTGAACTTGAACAATCTATGGTGTTAGTTTTTATTTAGTATAGGTTAGCATACCCCAATTGAAGTTCCAATAAAGTCTGCAAGCTCAAGTTATGGGTGTCTGTTTTTTGCAAAATAAAACTGTGTGACTCCCCCTGTGGTGCGAGCCTCGAGGGTGGGAAGTTGAATGAAAATTAAATCCACTCAAGAATTTCCCTTTTTTGATGTTTGAGGAGAATTGCGAGTCAATTGAGCAGCTTGCTCCAAGTCTAAGTCCTCCAAGAAGATTCGAAATGAATGAGACTCCTGAATCGAAATCTAGCTCGAGCCGAACTAGATGAACAGATTTCCTTGAGCACTTGGATATTCAAAATAGTTCAACTCACCTGGTTCCTCCGAGTCCTACATGAAGGCTAGGATGCCCATGTATGATCAAACACACCTCTGGAATGATTCAAGTCATTGCTCACCTTGAAGTCGGGCTCCGCAGCAGGTCTTGGAGCATCGTATTCAGAATTCAAGGATCTTTGTTTGATCTGAGAGGTGGACTTCAAAATAGAAACTTTGGAAAGGACGCATATGAATAGTTCGAATATGCGGACACATCTTCAACATAACAAGATCCCTTGAGGGGTGGCACCTATCGACGCGCACGCATCGTCATTTTTACACGTGGGGTGCGCAGGGTGCATGTGCACTCCCTGTCGCTTGCCTCGGGTGCCACTCTCCACCCACAGCTCGATTGCAGGCACCATTTACTTTGCTTATACGGCATTTCCTCCCGCAAAAAGCAACGAAGCAATGAATGTTTGAAGCGAAACACCACGACCATGAAAAACAATAGCGAGAGTCAGTTTCGATCCGACGACCTCTGGGTGCCTTCCGCAGACTGTTGCGTACGCGGTATGAGCCCAGCGCGCTACCAGCTGCGCCATCTCGCTTGTGAAAGGTCGAACGCGCACAAGCTATTTAGATCCGCTCTAACTCCCTGTAGTCAAAACCTGTGAAGCTACTGATGTCAGGTGATAACATCGCTGATCACCCATGTGATTTATACGTGAAATCAAACCCTCTTATGCGTGTAATGTGACTTCATCTATGTCACAAGCTAAGGAATTCCTCATCTCCATTCATCTGTGAATGTCAAGTTGGTTCACAAGGCCTTGAAGCCGACGATTGCAGTAGGCGTAATGTTTGCTTGAGGATTATATCATCTACTGTGAATTCAATGAGCTTGTGTATTGAGCCTTGACTTCTGTTGATTTTTTCCTTTTCAAAGAATCCATGCGGCTCATCAACCACTCTCCTTTGGACCGCAAAAGTTCAGTCTACAGAGATGTTTAAATTTGAACATCCATGTAGCGGTAGTGCTTTTCACGTCTCTGTCCCAAGTCCTTGTGATCGTACAAAGAGACCTCTTCGCGACTGGGAACTGGAGCGCTCTTCTCTATATTGTTTGGAATGGGAGTAGATGAAAGGGTAAGGACTCCGTCCATTAGGTTTCAGATTTTGATTCAACTTGATATAGCCACTTTGTCACGGAAGATTGTTTCTCGAGCAAGGAGATCAGGATCATAACAAAGTCGGACTTATCTCGGGGTGCAACATCGAACACGAGCTCAGATATAGTGACTGGACTGTTCTCCGCCCTCCTTCGGATGCACATTTCAGCTCGCTATAAACTAATTTGGATGGTTTCAATTCCCTATACTTGACAATTTTCTGGATAAATAGAGTTAATTCGGCTGAAGTAAAGAAAAGAGACTCGTTTACAATTGGAGAACATATTCTACAACTACTTCAATGAAGCATATTTCTGCAGGTGACTTGGAATGGAATCATACAAGCCTTTGCTCTCTAACCAACTCTTAGAGAACAAACGAGTTTGATACTTGGCTGCACTATCACACATCATTGTCACAATTCGATGACCTTTTCCGAGTTGCTCCGCCATCTTCACGGCTGCTGCCACATTGAGAGCTGAGCTAGCACCGAGGTAAATGCCTTCTTCATCTAACATCCTATAGACCATGAGGATACTCTCTTCATCTGACACAAATACCGAATCGTCTATCAAACCACCTTCGATTTCTGGTTTCAAGTTCTCAGTCACTCTACCTTGACCGATACCCTCCGTAATACTCCCACCCTGACGATCCATAAGTTTACCACCTGACTTGACGTAACTGTATAACACACTTCCAGGTGGATCCGCTAGAAAACATTTGACTTTACCATTTGAAACTTCTTTGAGATATCGCGTAACTCCTGCCAATGTTCCTCCTGTACCAGTTGAGCAGATGAATCCATCTAAATTTCCTTCTGTTTGTTGCCAGATCTCGGGTCCAGTCGTCTTGATGTGCGCGTCCCTGTTGGCGATGTTGTCAAACTGCATAGAAGTCATTTATCATCAAAAACTCACCACCTGGGTATTACACATATGATTCAAACATGAGACAATCAGCCACCCACTTGATTTGTCCAGACTGCGTTTTGGAGTCTTTCAGCGTGACGGGCAGCCTCTGAAAAGAGAACGTGTCATTCAAAGACTGCCTAGTTATCCGTCATAGAGTGACTTAGATGCGGCTTACGGTGATTATAGTTTTCCGGGTTGTCGAAAGCAACAGCTTCATTCAAACCACAAAGTCCGTCAGTGAAATTTGACAAACGGTGTTACAATCAAAACGCATCACTCACCCGGAACCGGGTAAACTTCAGCCCCCAGCATCTTTAACAAGTCAATCTTTTCCTGACTTTGTGTCTAAGAAAAACTATGATCAGTGTCAATTGCCAATGAGAAAGACTTTGACTGAAGCTTGCGAACCGATTCGTACATTAGGCATGTAGATCACACATTTATACCCTCGACTTCGACATACATGAGCAAGTCCGATTCCTGTATTCCCCGCTGTGCCTTCGATAACGGTCCCACCAGGCTTCAAGGTACCTTTATAATTTCAAATCCAAAAGTTCATTCAGTTCAATTCCATATTTGTTGTGCTAGAATTTCAAGTCGATCGAACCTTTGTCTTCCGCATCCTTTACTACCCATAATGCTGCTCTATCTTTCACACTTCCTCCTGGGTTCATGAATTCAGCCTTACCAAGAATATCACAACCCGTTTGCGATGATAATGAATTTAATCGAATCTGGTTATCAAAATTGATTCCGAAATTTAGTGATATATGATTATATGATCATTCTCAAAGGTTTCAGCAGACTTGCCAGTGGTGTATTACCGATTGCGCCCGTGAACCCCTGATAAAAGTGAAAACCAATGTAAGTCTTTCTCAATCTTTTCTTTAGTGTCTAGCTTGACCAATAAGGTTTGCAATATAGACTTTTGAAAATCCATACCTACGTCGACAGGTTTTGATAAATGCCTCGTCACATCTGAGTTAAAGGTTCCAGTATGACTCGTCAAGGACTTCCTGTCTACTCGAAACCGAAGGGTTTTGGATATTGCATGTGAATGGCGAAACACTAGCTTAAAGGTCGAGTTCAACATGTCGATTGTAGTTGGAACAGGTTCGCGGTTTGGAGAATCCTCATGACGGAGTGAAGGGGTGGCGATGACGACATGATCTGTCTAATCCCATTGATGTATGCTTTGTACAGGCTTAAAACCCATGAAAGTCGGCATCGTGTCTCGACACATCAACACTGTCAGTGTCGATTTTACAAAGCTTACCGCGACTTCCAAGCCAGATTGCTCGACTTTTGCGAGCAAGCTTAGAAATGCTTTTTGAAAATGATAGGCAGACCGCATCAATTCTCATGCTGAATCTGCTGTTTCCGCTTTACTTTCTTCAGCCTCAAAACCAAATAAAAAACTACTTCAGGTGCGAAGTCGATGGATTCCTAAATCATGTGGGTGCATCAACCTCTTCATTGGATATAAGGCCTTCTGAATCCACACTCACCCTAGTATGTAGTAAGGTAACTTTTTTCTGCCAAAAGGAGACCGGTCCGAATACTCCTGATGGCGGCTGTGACGAGTCTTCCACCTTTCACCGCCTTCTCTCTGCGCTTTAAAACACCAGTCGGACTCGGTCTAGACTTGTATATGACTTGCAATGATAGGAAGGTACTTAATCAGTCTTTATGCAAATAACTTAACTGTTCGATCGCGTTCAGACAAGATCGCGCTGTTATTTCATTTTAGGAACGTAACTGGTACGGAGCTTCAGTTATGATTTTAATCGGTGAAAGAGAGATCAGCGCAGCTTCACCTGCGTTTCTTCAGTCAAAAAAAGTTAGAAAAGAGCGAGAAACATCATCATTGTATTCTCTACCGCCGAACATCAATTTGAACCAAAAACTTCCATTCGTTCACGCGTGCTTCATTGCTTCGAATCTACCATCATCGCGTCTCACCATCTTTGATCGAATCTGATACTGCAATCCAAGCCCTATATTCAACTTTCGGTCTGAGATAAGCCAGAGAGAGTGATTAAACGCGCTCTCAATTTTTTGAGGTTTGATAAAATCTAAATTTGAAGGTATCTTGTTTTACACCCCGTCATCATATTTACCTGACTTTTTTTCTATCCAGTTACTGACACAAATTGTATGATGATAGCCATGTTTTTTAGTTCAGTGTGTCTACTCTGTCTTTTCCTTAGTAACGTAATATCAGAGACAGAAGATGAAAAAACATACCCAAGAGAATATATACTCATGGCAGAACAAGTAGGACCCATGATGACACGAAGAAATTTAGATTCCAATAATGAAGGAGAAGAGAATGTAGAAGTTTCAAATGTAATACCAGTAACACTTTCATTTGTTTTATCACCACTTGGACAAGTTTTAGTACAACCTTCAGATCAATTTCCGAATTTAACTGAAAGCATTACGTCTTCAAATACAAAACCACCACCTGATAAATTTAGGTTATTAGATTCAAATGGAATTGAAAGATTGACAATACCTACAATACCTAGCTTAGCTCAAATCTCTACATTCCAATCACATTTACCGATTGATACACATCTTGGATTTAGTTCTGAAAAAGGTGTTCTCAAGAGACCTACTATCGCTACTTATTATCCTGATTGGAATCTTGATGTCTTAGCACCTGAACAGATAGATTACTCGAAATATGACTTGATTGCTTTTGGTAAGCTGAAAATAATTTCACATCCAAGTATCACTTTACATGTTCAAATTCTCTTCAGGTTGATTAAAAATAACTCTTATTTTCCGATTTGAATGATCTGACGGCTTTTTTCTGATGATGTTTTTTTTATTTTAAAACACTTTAGCATTCGCCATACCAACTGAAGATTTCAGTATTAAATTTACACAAGATGATTCGATTCAAACTTTGGATAAACTTGTTAAATATGCACATGGAAATCATACATTAGTTTGTTTATCAATCGGTGGATGGGATGGATCTAAATATTTTTCTTCTGCTGTTAAAACTGCTTCGAATAGAGAAACGTTTGCAAATAATATTATTAAGATTGCACATCAACACAAAGTAGATGGTGATTTGTTTTCATATATAAATCATAGAATTCACTCGTCTCATACTTATACTTTATGTGGATTTATTGATTATTTTCAGGAATTGATATCGATTGGGAGTATCCGGCTCAAGCGGGTATAGCAGATAATACGGTGGATGATAATGATTCAACTGCGATGTTATTGTTTTTTCATTTATTGAGAGACAAGTTGGGTCCTTCAATGATTCTTTCGGCTGCAGTCACCGATTATACTTTTCTTGATAATCATGGTCATCGGATGGTAGATGTTAAAGCCTACGCAGAAGTCCTGGATCATATTTTGATCATGTCAGTCTTTTTGTCATAATCTCACTTATAGCTCAAAAGACCATCCTTTTCTAACTTATGTTTATTTGGATCTCGATTTTCAGGAATTATGATTATGATGATGTTTCAGAAACTCCGGGTCCTAATTCGCCTTTTTCAAATGCTTGTGGTGATGCAAGCCAACCTTCAGGTAATATGGTTAGCGCCATAAACGCATGGACAGATGCAGGATTTCCAGCTGATAAGATTTTAATGGGATTACCAGCTTATGGTTACATTCATTATGCATCTATAACAAAAATGATTCATAGACGTCATAATGAAATCTCACCTAGAACTAGATTCCAACAATATACAGCTCAATCAAATCATCAACTTCATCGACGTCAAAATGCTTGCACTGTGTCAAGTGTAAATTGTCAAATTGATAGTTTTTTGGAAAATCAAAAGGATGATGAAATTGATTCATTGGGCAAAGCAGGAAACTTGAAAGATTATTCTGGACCTCAAATCACATTTCATGATTTATTTAAATGGGGAGTCCTAGCAAAGAACATTACAAATTCAAAAATCGAGATTATGGCCATTAATGGATACAAACTAGGATGGGATACGTGTAGTTCGACAGTGAGTTCATTTTTTTGATCAAATTTTCAAACATAGAAAGTTATCCAACCTCTTGTTTATTCTTTTTGTTTTTTTAGCCTTATGCTTTCAATGAAGCTACTCAAACGGTTGTCAATTTTGATGATACCAGATCAATTGCAATCAAATCAGCATATGCATTAAAAGTTGGGATCGGTGGGGTTGGATTTTGGGATTTAACTGGTGATCCTCATTCAGTTTTAACTAATGTAGCTAGAGCGATTTTGAAAAAGACGTAGAGGGAGATTTGAATTTTCTGTGTTTTGGATTATTTTTATTCAGTATTTTTACATATTCTAATGGGTAGTTATTAAGTTATGGTTTTGTTTTCTTCTTCTTGGTTTATTTAATTCATTTGTGGGGTTAGTGAATAATTTTGTGAATGGATGTATATAAAGAGAGTATTAAGCAAAATCAAATCAAGGTATGTATGCCTCTAGGAATTTTCTACGGATTTTTCTTTGATGAATACTTTTTTGTTTAACATCACTTGTATTTCAACCTCCAATAATTCCGGACAAGTTTTTGTTTGAACAATGAATTAAACTGGGAAGAGTGATATTTTTAAGTTTGAGTGGTGGATAACTGGTGTCTAATAACTCCTTGAAGAGATTGTAAAATTCATAACCTCAGGCATTTTCAAAAATCAATCTCATTTGGTTTGATTTTCATTTTCTAAAGTGAAATTTGATCCTGATGATGATGTATCATTGCTGGTGATTTCCAACAATACACAGTGACATAAAGCATTACAAGAGTGTTGAGAATTGATTGAGATCGATCAAGTGAAAAGAAAGAACAAGTGAAAAGGGTAAAAAAGGATTTGAAGAGTAAAACTATGGGTTCTGCTGTATCAGTCTGATTTATGGTTTATCAAAGGTTCAAATATTTTGCGCCCGCCTTACAAGATCCGACGCCCGGTTTCCGGATATTTTCCGGGCGCAGCCCGTTCTCATTTCAAACCGGGCAATTAAGTTTCGATCACGTTTCCGCGTTTCAAATTCAAATTCTTGCTTTCATTTTTCACTTTCACAAACATAGGATAGAAATGTACATAGAACAATTTGGCTCAGTGTGTACCGTAGGAACATGTTCCTAGGCATGGATCATGGATTATAAAAATATGTTAATAATTTGTAAAGAAAAGAGAAAAACAAGTTGTAAAGAAAAGAGAAAAACAAGTGTGCGTGTAAGGTTAAATACTGAGCCCCCCAAAAACACGGTTCCTTCACAACCATCAAATTGACAAACCAAGTCAAATCATTACAATAAACATACGGGAAAAACATATCGCTAGGAACTTTTTTCATTAGTCCACTTATCCAATTGGACTTGATAATGTTTGGTCCAATTAGGTATTTGGGTAGTGTTGTGCATGGCTGTGTTGCGGTCCTTACCAAAGACCCCTGGAAACGGTAGCGATAGGTCTTTCGGCCCCAAATGGACGAAGTGCATCTTGTTGATGAATGCCAGTACAATAGGCGCGTTGTTGTTTGGTGGGGTGCGATAGGGGAAAAAGGTATTGCAGTTTGCCTCGTGTGGATCCAAAAGTATCATTGGACAATCATATGCACTTGCAATGATGTAGCCCATATACGGCATTCGCATCCAGAATTCTTTACCACATTTGGCTTCCTTGCAAGGCAGTCGAACCAGAAGATCTTGAATCACTTCGTCAGCAAAAGATTGATTTTTTCGTGTAGGCCGGATTGGGGCAGGAGATATCAGGTGTTTATGATCTGTAGCATACAATGACAGCTCAGCTAGTAGTTTACTTCTGACATCTAAGTATGACTGTTCAGTAAAACTTCCAACAGCCACTGCGATCACGTAGTAACCACAATTTCCATAAGGGGGGGGATCAAAAGTTGACTGGATGTATGGGACCATGAATTTAGGGAGCTGCTTTAATATTGACTGATCTTGAGGAGACCCCAGTGCGCTCTTTTCACAAACACGGCTTGATGAACTTGGGTTACCAAGGTAGTACTCGTCTTCTTCCTCCATCGGAAAAACCGCAATCCCAAAAGCACGGCTGGCTTCAAGCGTATGTCGGACCTTTGGATTGCTGCTAGCCAGGTGCAAATCTTCGGCAATCAGTATTAAGGTGACCTCGGGAATAAGAACCCGACGCAGGAAGTAATCAGGTGTAAATGGAGCTGCCTTGGCGACATCTAGCATAGTACTGGCACGTTCAGATAAGAAGATATCGGTTAAAGTTTTCATCAACACCACGAAACCACGATGGCCATAACTGTTGCGTAAATGATGACGTTAGGATTCAAAAAACGGGTTAAACATAAAAACCAAAATATCTTACTAGCCCGGCTGCTCGATTTCAAATCCATCAAGGTCGCCAGACACCCTAAAGATGCATGTTCCCTTTGCCTTCAACTTCATTTCGGCATCATGCAGAAAACTTGATGACACTGATCGATTGATGATCCCAATAAGATCATCGGCATGATTTTGGATTCTCCTATAAGTCATTGGATACAAGATACCATCTTCCATGAGGTCAAACAACAAATACAAACATGAACCGATACATGAAAGGCTCACTTTTCTAACAAACCAAAGTCGATTTCAGTAGGCCATCCCTCGCGGATCCCCAATGGTATCACATCTTGTTCAGACCGATGTAGATCACAAAATTCAGCTGTTTGCGGCCACTGCAGATGATTGATCAGCCAAAACGTCCAAGATACTGATAAGATAACCAAACACTTACAGGTAAGTCCATAGCATCTTGGTGGCCCACTTGTTTGCGTATGTTGGGCAAAGCAAAGAGGGTAGCTTTCAGACTTAGGAGCTTCTTTGATGGCGCTTCCGGAAGTCGATCATCACAAAACGGACATAAATTGACTCCTTCATTGTTCGAGGTGTCCAATTGGCTGGACTCTGAGGTTTCAGAATGGTTGGAGTCTTGTTCCAAATCAATAACATTCTGACTCGTAGACCGAACAATCTTACTGAGCTGGATAGGTGATTCCACAATGGTATTGGGAATATCCACTGTTGGACAGTGATTGGCGCGATGTCCTGGTAGCTTGCAAAGGCTGCATTTGTATGTGCGCTTCTCTTGGGAAACTTTAGCAGCTTCAACGGGTCCAGAAGGAGGCAAGTGAGAAGTTGATTGTGTTGGTAACTGAGATGTTGAAGGAGTCTGTTGAGACTCAGGTGGTGAAGTAAGTACGAAGTTGATTGAGTCGGTAAGTGAGAACTTGATGCAGTCTTGGAACGTGACTGAGCAGGTTGCAGTTGACGAAGTTCGGATGAATTAAGCTCTTCCGTTGAATTATCTTTGGAATCCTCATCTAGAGCAAAATCAGCACCATCCAGGATCTCTGCATCAACCTTTCGAGCAGGACATTTGTTTCTTCTGTGGCCCGGCTTTCCACAATAATGACAAGTTTTGGTAGTTGCCAAGCGAGCCTTCTTGGCTCCCCGTTCCTCTTCCTCGTTTTCGATCTCAAAATCAGACTTCCATCGTCCATTTTTTTGGGATGCTGATTTTTTGTTACGTGGTCGTCCTTGGGTATCTCTCTTGACTAAAGCATTGGAGATAGGAACCAGGGAATACCTGTCGGTTTCGATTTTTGCAAGCTCTTCGTAAATCTTGCGGAGAGAGTGTTCGGGGAGACTGATCAGTCGGTTTAGCTGGGAGGTCACGGCTTTCTGGAGGTCTTCATAACATCCTGGAGGTGCAAGTAGAGTCATTTTCCATTGCGAGTGAAAGAGGCTTGGTGATATGTTGTTCGATTCTTGAAGCACATGTGCCAGGTCGTGGGCACATGGCATGCCCCATACACCACGAAAAGTCTTTGAGCACTTCGTTTTCACGGCTTCGGCAATTGAATCATACTGTTTCTTGACTTTCTTGAGAGCAAAATGAGATATAGTTCCATTGAGTTCTTGAAAGGACAGGGGGAGGCCAATAAGTGTCTTCCCACTCTCGACTCCAGTCAAAATCACAATCTCCTGGTATTGAGAATCGCCGGCACGTTTGAAAGCTTTGAAACATGTGATAAAGTCCTTGTTATTTCCATGAATGAAATTTTTAAGTCGATGGTGTCCGCCTTCGACTCGAGAAGTTGAGGAGTTCCCGAAATGAGGAGTTTGAGATGTGAAAAGGGCGACGAATTTTTCCGTCCGATAAAGCCATGTTTTCTCAAGGTAATCCAAGATTTGGTGTCTTCGAGCAATTGTTTTAACAGCCAAAAGGTTCTCATCATATTCTTCAGTAGTAGCGCTTTGCAAAAATTGATTCCAAACTTTCATGAACTCAGTCCACTCGGGTCCCTTGAATTTCTTTTTGCACTTCTTCCCAATGTTATGATTGATGTGCCAGATGCACAATAAGTGAGTTGAAGTAGGGAAAACTTTGGCAATTGCATTGTACAATGCTGGCTCAGCATCGGTCCAGAAGGTATCAGGAAGAGGAATGCTAGGGTCGGTGGAGCCGTCATCGCTGTTAAAAACTACCGATTTGAGCTGCTCTAAAGCCCAGACGTATTGTTCCTCGACCTCACTGTGCATAAAACAAAGAGCTATGGTGAAAGTCTTGTGGGTATTAGTTGTTCCGACGATGTGAAGCAGTGGAAGGTTGAATCGGTTCGTTTTGTAAGTGCAATCGAGTCCAATGACCGTGGGAAATCGACGGGCTAGATTGATTCCTTCCGGGCTGGCCATGAACAGTGATTGCAGGGTCCCATCACTAGAAGTTGTGATGTGATAGGCCCACTTTTCCTCCATGATCAAATCGAACAAACCCTGGATGGGTGTTCGACCATCCAACCAAGCATCCCTTTGTCGAGCAAGGGCATTTCAGATATCTCTCACCAGGGGTTCTGAACCTGGTGCGAAGTTGATTAGTCCACGGATCTGAGTTGCGCTACATCCGGCGGAGGACAAGAGTTCCATCTGACGCATTATCTCGCCGGAGAATTGTCGGTTTTTTGAGTGGTTGTGAGGTTCATCGAATGGTGGGTGATTATGTGTATGTTTGGCTGATGTTTTTTCGTCTCGCTTGACCACCCATCGATCCAAACTTGACAGGTAGTTGAGTGAGACCTCAAATGGACAGTTGGTCATTTTCGATGAAGTTTGACGGACCGTAGCCACAGACTCGATAGGCCGACCCAGCGAGCATCTGAAATAAATTCGCACTTTCTGGTGATTTTCAGTTTTATTGCTCTTGATGGAGATTCCGTATCCTTGATGTCGAGCCACAGCGTTG